TAAGCTCGCAACCGTACAGGTTTTCCTTCCATGCCTCCGCACACCCGCGTTCGAGATACCAAGGCCGGAGACTGATATGCTCTGGATCTGACAGGTCGCCCGAGTTTTGGATCGAGGCACTATACATCCACAGCCCCGCCAGTATGATATCGTACAACGCGTTGACCGTGATCGAGGAGTGGAAGTCGAGAGTTTGCTTGCTGAAAGACATGATTGAGAAGCGGACGAGCCATGTGAACAGGGTTATGATGGCAATGCATAGGTTGCATAACGTACAGCTGGTTGAAGTGTTAGAAATCCAAATGGCTGCTGTTTTGAGGACGTGGGAGGATACCTTTCATCCCATATCAATGGTATGGGTGGTGATTTCCGATAGTTCGCATAGTCGTATACACGTTGGATAGGATCGGAATTCCAGCCTTTGGTGCCGCCTTCTTTCCATAGTATGCTGCGGAAGCGATCGGGATATGCAGTCGCAAAGAGAGATACGAGCGCGATGGCTAATATGAGATCAAACAATGTGGCACTGAGAAAGATCAGATAGGGATTGCGGAGCATGGTGAGCGTGATAATAATTGAGGAGCGACAAGTCCGACTGCCAGTTTCACCAAACGACATAGGAGCCGTGCAATGGGATTGTTATGTCGACTCAGTGATTGATTTGACAGAGAACGTGCGCTAGCGCGATGTCAGCTCAGTTGTGGTTGTCTCAGGTGCTCAGCGCCACCCCATTCAAGGAAAACATAGAACACCCTGGAGCTTACATGGACGCTACGCCTCCATATTTGCTCATCGTTGGTCTAATGTAGGCCCTAGGCCTGTTCGGTGTTTTCTTTGTACAAGGTGAGCGCGTCGTGACAGCAGCAGGATTCGGAAGAGAGACATCGAATCTCCGTCAATCATCAAGCCTATCAGCACCGAAGACAGGTAGCAATGTGGAGTGAACTACAGTGACAGCATTGCCTTAGCCTGTTGTCTTTGCATTAGCTTGTTGTTCAGTAGGGAAGAACGCCAAGCAAAGTTGCGCAAATGGCCTCATTCTGACTTTCGAGAAGCCACACCTCAAATAATGCCAACGTGATGTTGCGAATTAATGCGATTAGAAAAGTGAGCCGATATGCGCCCATTCCCATGTGCCACCTCGCCTCTTGTGTAAGTGGAATGGCTTGCCACATGCACTAACAGTCGGGTATATGTATGTTGGGTGGAACACGAGAACATCATCGGATCCCGCAGTGTATCGCAAAGCAAGTTGGTCGTCTATGCTCATTACATTATGTATGCGCGCATATATTCTGCGCTTGTCTAAGCCATGGTGATTGATGCTCACCAGCTCTCCTGTCTTGCGACAAATCATCTAACTCCTGCCCTGCTCTTCAAGCTCTCTTAAGCCTTGCCAAACCCCTCCATTGCCCTCACGGGCCTCGCCGTAATCGCTACTTTTCTAACGGACAGCATCGTCATCTGCGTTTCCTCACGTCATCTCTCTTCGTAATGCCCCTTCCATCGGAAGCTCACTGCTTGAGAGCTGAGCCGATAGTGAGTGTGAGTTGAGTGTAGCTGGCTCATCGGGTCTTCTCTGCAGGTGCATACCTCCTGGCGGCTCTTCATAGTCGGGATCTTTTGGCAAGTACCACATGGCGAGTCCAGCTTGGTATAGTGGAGGCAGCATGCCGAGGCGAAGATTGGGTTTGGGGGCTATGATGGCTTGAGCGTTTGTAGGAGGATGATGTTGTTGGCTTGAGTCGTGTGGGCGAAGGATCCATCCGTGGATCACGTTCCCACCTCATACAAGAAAAAGACCGAACAGGTCTAGAGCCTACATCGACGCTAGGTCACCTATCTAGTAGGTTTAAATGTTGATGTAGGCTGCAGGTCTGTTCGGCTTTTTCTCAATTGACGTGTTCCGGTCATGTGACTGTGACGTCAGATGCGCGTCCTCCCGCAGCGGCACGACTGTGCCACATGGACGTCAACAACAAGTGCGCTCATGTCCGAAGTGACACTTGCCTCCCACGTCGTACAATGAAGCACCTCATGTTTTCCGAGAAGCCGCCGTGCTACGCGCCTGCTTCGTGCATCAACGTCTCTACCCCCAACATGCATCGCTGTGGCTAGCCATCTCGACTCTGCGCCCCAACAACGCACTCATAACCGATCAAGGTTATATTCTTTCGTAACTTTGATTTCGTTCAGCCCCAATGAGCCCAGTCTCTCCGAAGGAGCCGATTCATTGTTCAGCGTGACGAAGGCAGCCGCCTGCGGTTTGATGCCTGGCATCCATTGCGAAGGAGGTGCGTTGAGATTTGATGTCGACGAGCCGTTGCTCTGTGTGCGGAACTTCATCCGGCGGAGACCGATACCGCCATCCTCAGTCGGGAGTGGAGGAGTTCGGCGCCACGAAGGAAGTGAACGGACGTTGGGAACGCAACAGCAGACGATACCGACAGCGACCTCGATTGGGGAAAAGCAGATACGCCACCACGACGCACCGATCGGATCATCATTGACGTTGCCGAAGACGTCGATCGCGCAGTCGATACGGAGGACTGCTAGGATAGTACAACTGTGTGGTGTCAGCAAGAGCTATTTGGAGCGAGCGCTTAGCTTCACGTACAAGCATCCAAGGAGGAACAAGACCATCACCCACGCCTTCTTCTTGCCTGAGAGATCTGCTGCTGCTATGGCAGGTATCGGGGCAAAGAGGATGACACTGTTGAAGAAGACGTGCAGCGATCCAATGATGATGCACGACTTCTTGCTCTGCAGCTTGCACTCCCCCGGTGGATGGCACATGCTGATCCAACCCGCGAGCGACCAGATGTACCAGATCGCGATGAGCGCCATAGACGCATAGCAAGCGACGCGAGCAAAAACTCTCTTCTCGTACAGGCGGAGGTAGGATTTCGCAAACGCCACCTGCACCGTTGCAACCGATGTGGCCCAACAGATATCCAGTGCGAATTGTATCTTGAAAGCCTGTTAGCCAACTCTCAAGAAGCCTCCAGCTAAACATACCCGCAGCCAGAAACGCTCCACAACGTCAAAGTTCTTCGTCGGGTCCGCCTGAATCTCATAGCTCGTAAGCCCTTCTCCGCCGAGGAACACCAGCACGTAAACTAGCGTAACCACGACAAAGCTCATAGCCTACGACTGTTAGCATGGTACCGCCGTCAGCATTCCATCGTCTTACCAGAGCAGCCAGCATCAGCGCATCTTCGTTGATCGTGTTGACCCGTCTGACACTCCTCGTGTACCATCTCGCCGCCACCGCTGCCGCAGCCACCGCAAGGCATAGTGTAGGCGCAATCAACAACGCAAGCTGCTTGCCATTGACAATGTCGAAACGATCCGATTGCTTCCCCGCCATGATCAATACTATCCAGCTCTTCTTCACTTCACCGCATACCGAGCGCACATCAAAGCCAAAGTCGTCGAAAGAGAGGGGCGTAACTGGAACCAGGATTAAAAAGCCCCGAGCGGAGCGAGTGAACGTAGATAAAGCCAAAGAGGCGATCCTCCCAATTGCCTGGTCCAGAGCACAGAGCTGTCATGCACTATGCTCGTTGAGTCCGCCGTCTTCAACGCCTATCTCGCGTCACCCAGGGTGCCTCAGCCGTGCGGCCCATGCGACAAGTGTACTTGTAGTGTTGGCCTTTCGGGAAGCAAGACCTAGTCAGGGAGCGCGGCGGGGCTCATGCTGTGCGCCGCTGATTTGTCGCACATCTGACGGTCCGACGCGGAACACGGCTAACCTGCATGCATCCCTGCCAGCCATATACCTGTGACCCAATGAAAGCTACCACACCAGCAGGCCCTCCGTTCATGGGGGCTGGCGCTTCCGGGGCACTGATGCGGCTAGCATGAGCTATTGCAGACAAAAAGCAATATAGCAAGCTGGCAATCCTTTGCCGTATTCTGGTAGGTTTCTTGATGATAGTTTCACTTCCCTCGAGGCGATCGGTTAGCAAAAGAAAAGTAACTCAACGCTATGGGCGATCCGCGCATATGTCTGCATCACGACGTGCGGGGTTGCCGAAGCTGAACACCCCCGAGGCGACGGTTGGCTTCCCCTATCGATCACGCAGCCCCCATGCTCATCACCGCGAACTGAAACAAGCCCGCCGCGTCGGCCGTTCTTCGTCGCGTGGTCTGCCAGGTCATGGTTCCGGCACAAGCGAGGTGGCGCCCTTCTATCGTGACCTAGAACACAAACTCCACCTACCAACAAGCCTAACAAGATTGTAACTTTGCTTCTCGAGATTCCCGGCACACGTTGAGACAGCATTCATGCCTGCTATATACTCTAACCTTCTTTCTCAACAGTCGTGCCGTCTCGCTCAACACTACACATATTAAAGGACGCCGCCCTCTCTTTTTCTTTTCAATAGCGGCCCGATCAGTCCTCCGAAATAAATCTCCGACATGACACCGCAAATGCACACGCGTGCAACGGGAGAGTTACCGCAAAGATGCCTTCTAGAATTAGCCCAGAGATAAACCCGCATCTGGGGTATATCTCGCTCCGATCATACGATCCTGCAGCTCTTTCGGCCTAAAATCCTAGAGGTGACGTCGCAGGTTGTATATTGGATGAAGTCATCGGGCTAAGGTTCGGGCAGTAATGCGGTCGTCTGCGTGTCATATGCAGGGCAATAGGAGGGAGGGAGGTCATGTCACGTGGGGTAGGCTTATCTGGTGCTGTCACATGTGATTGGGGACGGCAGAGAACGGGTGAGTGAGTGAGAGACAATGCATTCGGAACTACAGAAACCATACGGTACGACCATGCGCGGAGGCATTCGCAACCGTGAAAACCGATAGACGCCAACGCCAAACCTATCCCAGGAGGTATTCAGTGACCTCTGACCCAGCCCAGGCAAACTTCATAATGATGCGCGTCGACCTTCAAGACCCCAAAACCCAAAAAAAACGAAACGCCAAAACCACCCCAGGAGGTCGTCGCTTTCTTCTGCACCGGTGCAGTGAAATGCTAGTACTCAGAAAGGAGGTTCTATCCACCCCCAATACTCCCTGCTCGCCTCCTCCTCCCTCTCCTCCCTCTCCCTCTCCATCTCTTCCTGTGCCCATGTTGGGAACAGTACTTTCCTACACATAGGACAAGTGTTGCACCTCTCAAACCAAGTCATGATGCAGTTGGTGCCGAAAACGTGGCCGCAGGCGTTTAGCTTTGACACTGGTTGCTCTTCATTGGTGTAGTGGCTGTGAAGAGGTTTTGTGGATTTGAGCCAACTTGACTTGAAGACAATTGTGTTGGCTGGGTGTTGTAAGGCCAGTTCAAGGACTTCCTTGTCGGCGGCGGTGAGCTTGGTGGCGGAGGGGTTCTCGCAGGCCAAGTCTTTGGTGCAGATGCTGCACGTGTCTGCTTCGCTGGCGGGCAGAAGGTAGGGAGACATACCCGCAGCGATGAAGTCGGCCTTGCAGGCGTAGACAGGTGTGGTTGAAGACATGTTTGTTGTATTGTGGTGATGTTGTGTTGGTAGATGTGGTAGTAGTGTTGGTAATAGTGTTTGAAGATAGTTGGGATGGAATGGTAAAACTTTCTTCGGATTTTGGACTTTGGATGTGATGGATGATGAAGAAAGGATAATGGAGAGAAGAGAGGGACAGAGCACTATTTATTGAGTTGGAAGCGTTTTTGTGACTCACACAGCACGTTGGTACTGAGTTAATTATTGAGTTGGAAAGCTATCTGCGACTCACGCTGCCCGTGGGTAATGAGTGGGTTTGCTGACCTTGGAGACCTCAGGAGTGGTGGTTACGTACTATCAGGAGCGCACGATCGCGCATTGTTCGCCGGAGCGCCATGCCGAACCTTAGATTTTCAGATAGCTGTGACTCAAGTCCATTGAAGGGCCTATGAAAAAAAGTCGTACTCATCACATGCCACGGAAGCCTAGAAGTCTCCACTGCGCTGAGGTTTCGCGGACTTTCGATTCGATACCAATGTGGGCTGCGGAAGTTCTGTTCGCTTCCTTCCATAGACGAGCTGCGGGCAAAAGTTCCGCATCAACGATGAACCAGATCTATTAGAATTACACCCACACTATAGCTCTTCAAACTTCTTGTCCCGTGCTGTGCTCAAGGCAGCAGTAGCACCAAATGCGATTCGACCCACATCATCTGTGGGTTTCTCGTCCCCGACGAACCCAGGGCACGCAGAAACAGTCTGCTTCCACTGCTTGTCCCCTTCGGCAGCGCTCAGAATATCAGCATGTGCCGTACCAGCCTTGACAACGAATTCTGCACCCAACCAAGGCGTGAATGGCCTCATCCAAAAGGCGTACAGGGCAAGCACTAGCAACCCGAGAAGGTGGAGGCCGAGGAAAACGGACCCGGTGATGACCCCCCAAAGCGCGATATATGTCTTCTTGGTTGGAACGCCCGTATCGACATATACATTCCGCGATTGGTCGAATCCTCCCCATCTGTGGAATTGGCTCGGGTTCAGCCACTCCTTGTTGGCGAGGAAAGCGGCCACAGTGAACGCCCTACTTGCAGAACGTTCCGAATCAAAGAATGCGGCTAGTTGTCTCACGCGGCCAAGGACGTCGACTTCGGACTGGTAGTCGTAGTCGCGGAGGCACGGGCCCCCTATGGCAAAGTTGAGAGGCATATTCCCGAGGCAGTTGTTGCCGAAGTTTCTGAACCATACTTCATCATCGACCTCAGGCCGATCTACAAGGAAGGCGGATGGATTTGAAACTCTTCTCTCGATGAAAGAGCCTTCGCCAAATAGTGCCAGTCCAATAGCAGTCAGCGGACCGATGTGATTTCCAATGGGTTGTCTCACATTTCCTGCGTATGTTTCGTTGGTTGCTCGTTTCTCATCTCGACTGGATCCGCTGGTTGAAGAGCCTCTAGCGCTGTCCAAGGATAGCTTATGGAGTAACGGCCCGGCGCGATTGCCGTTCTTGGTATTAGGAAGTTCGAAGTAGCCTAACGTCGAACGGGCGGTGATTTTCCACATAATAGGAGTGCGTAACATTGAAGGCACCGAAATTGCGAGAAAAAGGTCCTCGGTAATGTCCTGCTGGTTGTACGTAGCTTGCCAAGGCGTGCCAGAGATATTGGCGGGTATGCAAGCTATTATATCGAACTCCCGGTATCCCGTCTCTCCTCCACGGTATTGTGCGAAAAATACATCTTCTCTGTCGCGAACGCATTCGGTTGGCCACTCAGCGTCTGTCATGTTCCTGTATTCAATTGTGGTATTGAGGCGCGGTGCGTACTGAGGGTCAACATAGACACCGGTGCTGAAGTCCAAGGGAACGGGTGAGAACCAGGCATCTAAGCTCATCTCATCAAGTTGATAAAGACTCCTCGAGAAGCGGTTACAATTGGTGGCCACACTGAATGTATCGTAACACATGTCATTATCCAGTCCATCCTTCTGTTCATCGATCCAGAGGTAAGGCTCATGTTCTCTTTCCGCGCGCGATTCTAGAATGCTACGGAGTCGAACAACTGCTGTATTTATGTCATTGTCGGTGCTGCTGATTAGAGCAGGTATATCAGCGACCCTAATCAGACCGGACTGTGTGCTGCGAGTTGGTATTCGTGTCGGAGTAACCTGGATAAACGTTGTCTGCAGAATCGGGAAGACAGCACCTGTATTCGCGTCAACGCCGGCTTCCTGCCAAGATCTGGGCATGACTCACCCACTAAGGTCAATGCAAAGGCGAAGTACAATGGAAGACTTCCAACTTTAGACCACCTAGCCCACATTCTTGGGCTGATCCAGCCTTGATCTGCAAGCGCCATAGTCTGACGCAGATTCAACTTCGTTCTCGAGCTGCCAGCCTGGATATAGGCAGCGAAGGCTATAGAGCATATCGCTGAAGTGATGGGAATGGTGAGTAGGGCGACTACCGATTGCAGGATCTGCGCAGCCCTAAGGATCCTCTCGTGTTTAGCCAAGAGACGAGCTACATCTTTAAAGTAGTCTTGATTATCCGTATAGCTTAACTTGCTTCCAATCGGCCGGCTGCTCGCGACACAAAGAACGATCCAGGTGAATAGGGCGAGTGTAGCGTAAAAGATGAAGACCATCAGCGGCCAGAACGAAGTGTGGAGGGTCCTGACGATGGGCTCGCGAACGGTCATGGAAGACGCTCTCGACAGCCTCGACGTGTACATGGGCTCGTGAGTAGTTTCCGGGACCTTTGGTGCACTCGCATTTGCTTGTCTGGTCTCCTCGCTGACGCTGTGCATCTCATGCGACTCCCGTTGCTCCATGTTTGGTGTGATCGATCCGCCGTTAGGGAAGATGGGGAGTCAAGATTCCCGCTGTAAGGGATGTAGCGTAGATTTAATAAAGCATGCGGATGTTATCGTCTGACAGCGCGTAACTCGACTGCGCCGTCTTGGCTCTTGTCTTGGCGTGCAGTTTGTATTGAAGTTGGGGGCTAAGAGCGGGTGTCGGCACGAGGGAATGCGATCCTCCACCATCGTCGCACAGGGGCTCCAGAGGGAGGCATACTTGTATACCAAACGCAGTGCCAAACCCTTGTGAACCTATTCAAAGGCCAGCCCACAGATTAGTCAATGAGACATCATGGCGCAAACTCGCAGAGGGTCGTCCAACGCGTACACTTTTCGCGGCAAGTGCTGGTGTCTTATTTCCACCTCAGCCTTACAGGGCTGACTTCAGGCCTCCCACCACACCGGTAAAGGGTCCAGGCGAGGTTAGATCTCGTATAACCGACATACAACTCATCTCTTCGCGACCACTACTACGCCACGCACAACTCCGGTCCGCCCCCACCAGCCGAACATGGTTTTCGCAACACCAAAGCGACCTAAGCCTAAACCAAACGTCTTGAGCCTGTCGTCTTGCTCTTTCAGGAATGCCGCTAGTGGCGCGAACACATGTTCTGAGATGTCGGTGATGGTGATGGCTTCAGGGTTGTATCCTATCTGCTCCAGCCTCTCGCGGTACCCCTGTGGTGTGGTGAAGTTCGCCCAGGGCGCACCCATGAGGGCAGTGAGAAGGCGAAGCGTCATCCTCTGGGCCCATGTAGCGGTAGGAGAGAGACACAGATCAAAGGCCATCCAGTTTGCTTCTAGCTCCGAGTGAGCGTACTCGATGATGGGCCAGCGTGAGGGGGCGAAGTGGTATGCTGTGTCTAGTGCCAACACCCAACGCTCTTCTGTATCGTCCTTCGCAAGCTGCAACTTTGTTTGCAGCTGTTTGCCCCAGGACATGGGTTTCGACGCGTCGGCACAGAAGAGAGATATCGTGGGGTTTCCACCATCTCCCATCTCAGGAGATGCCGCCTTCGTCGTATTCTTCTTGAGCTCGTCAACTCGCTCCGAGGCGTATCGAGCCTGCACAGCATCTTTCGTGATGCCAATGTAATGTTGGTATGTGGCGCAGCGATCTCTTTCATCCCACCAGTCTTTGTCGCACGCTTGAATAGGTTCCTTGCTCATGAGATAGATGGTTTGGTCCCCGCATCCGAAGCCCAGATCCACCAAGGCTCTTCTCCGTGCTGCTGGGCCTTTGTCGCTTGAAAGGCCAGCCTCAGCAAGGATTACGTTCAGCATGTCTCGACAGGCTTCGCTTAGTGTCGTTGAAGTGGTGGCGTTCTTCCAATACCCCATGTTCATCCACATGGCTGTGGGAAGCTGCAGATGTAGCCGCCCATGTTGCAGCCCGTAAACTGAAGCCTTGTCTTCTTGAGCCCCCCGCGCTCTCATCATCAGCCAAAACAGTAGGGTCGCAAGCCCTGCGGCGAATATCTGCGTAGCGGACATCTGTTTGACGTGTGGTCGTGATTGGTGCGACGCAGAATCGGGTGCTTGTGGGACTTCGCGGGAAGCTTCAACGAGGCAAATACGCTAGCCGTTTCGGGCGAGAATGTATGACGAGACGCCATATGATACGCACAACAGGAAGTCGCGTCCTAGACCCCTCAAGCCCAGATACTTTGACTTTCGTGCAAACACTTTGAATCGCCTACATCACTTCCTGAGTCCTAAGATGCTATGGGCATGTTGTCTTGCCCGGGTATCTACTCTATTGGATTACCTGCAAGGCTACGAAATGACTAAAGGCAGGAGGATGCTCCATGCTTCACAGCCCGAGTCCGAATACGCCTGTCTCCATGAATTACTGATGCCTCCAGGGCACCGCAACGTCGAACGCATCAGCCACTCGCATGGCCGAGACAACGCAGCCTTCCAAGAGGACCATACCGTCCCAGCACCAGCCGCCCACGAGCCACACATTGTCCTCGCCATTCCTCCACTGTGGCACTGACTTGTCATCTGTGTCGAAGTTCGAGCGCTTATCAAATATGGCGTTGACGATGCGCTGGCTCTCCGGGCTGCGAAGAACGCGCGTGAACCGGCTCCGCTGAGCAACGCATTTCTCATCGAGAGGAGTACATGGGCAAGTAGTTACTACGACGCCACATGGTTGGACATGATGCGATTCGGTTGTGTGCGTACCGGAGGTTGCCGTATTGAGGTGGATGAGCTGCGCGCCTTTCTTATCGACGTGCCTGGCGTCGCTACCGTGTAGGACTGCCCAATCCGTATGCACCACACTTTCCACGACTGCAGTCGGTATGCGCTGCATGTGGTGCTGCAGAGGTCTGAAGATGCGGCCGACGACATCTGGGGCGACTGCAAGAATAACTTTGTCGAAGAATTCCGTTTTCTCAGCGTCTGACCCGCCCTGAGACCAGGTTATCCGAACGCCCTTTTCGGAGGGCTCTACGGCCGTGACGGTAGCCTCGAGAGTAACGTCGATACCCTTGACCAGGCGGTCTTGCACCCCTCCCACGCCATCTGATACAGTATAGTGCGGTGCGCCATGGCTCCTCCGCTTGTATTCGATGATGTCGCTGGCAGGAAAGGCGAGTAGCGACTCGTGGGGACAGGTGGATACGCTCGACAAGAGAGGGAGTAAGTAGTAGGTGACGAAGTAGGTCGGACAGTATGTGCGGTCCAGATACTGCTGCATAGTCTCGCCTTGTCTAGGCTCGAAGAAGAAACAGCAGAGCGCGAACCACGAGTAGGCCAGTACCAGGTATAGCCATTGCATCAGGTACGAGGTCCTGCTAACTCTGCTCGGTCGGGGCGCCATCTGGTGGAGATTCGACGCATGTGTGAAATACGACGTGTCGCGGCGGCCAGTCGCTAAGGACTCGGGGCTCGCATCGCGGCATTTCGCGAATTCGAAGAGGAAGGGCTGGGAGTTGTATCCGATGCGCAGGTAGTCGTACAGGGCCTTGAGGTTGTTGTAGTAGCCGCCCGCAAACGCGCGCATGGGCAGGTCCACGCGGGTGGAGGCGTCGGTGGCTGCATCGGGGATGGAGATGGAGGCGGCGTCTAGGGAGAGCGTTTTGCCCTAGAATTACTTTTGTGAGTACAGTCGCGGATAGAGTGGGTGTTAGGCGGCCTACCGACTCGAAGACCCTGACGGCATATCGCTGGCGCACATCGTGGAACAACAGGTTCGCGCTAACCAGTCCTGCCAGGCCGGAGCCTATTATTGCGACCTTCTCGCGTGGCTGCTCCATGCTGAGGTAGTCGTGGACGTCAGCGGTGTGGAGCTATGGTGTTGATATTTAGGGCATGACGTGCAAATCGTCGCATGTCCTCGGCTGCTGGCCCGCAGCAGTCTCAGAACAGGCATCGTCCGTCTCTACCCAATTTGATAGCAAACATCAATTGGCGACGGCATCGTCGCCGGGACTAGGCTGAAATGGAGCAAAGTGCATGGAGCAACATGTGCCCGTCGGGAGTCGCGCGTCCTGTCTTGATGTCATCCTTTAGATTGAGCGTCTTGATTGGTTGAGGGAATATCACCGACGCGTCCCTTGCATGCGACATCCAGCAGTGGCCACACGAGACGTAACTCTAGACTCTAGAACACCACTTTCCTGTAGACGTTGTAGATATCGTTTCTTGATTGATCGTGGAAATGGCAGGCACCGACAAGCTTCCTGCGATGCGAGTCGCCGTCATTGGGGCTGGGTACGCCACCCTCTCAACAAAAATCATCACATGCTAACACGGCGGAAGTCCCGGCGGACTGACGACTCTTAAGACGCTGCTTGAGGCATCGACACCTGATCGGCCGATAGAGGCTGTTTTGTTCGAGGCGTAGGCATACTCCACTCAGCCCCGAGCGGGTTTACCACCACACGACCTAACACACTCCAGCGAAGACAATATTGGAGGCACATTTCACTACCGTGCTTATGAAAACGCCGAGCTGGTATCTTCAAAGCAATTGACCACCTTCTCCGACCACCGCTTCCCCGTGTCAGCACCAGACCACATTTCGCTTCCACAATATGTCGGCTACTTGCAGGACTACGTGGACAAGTTCGACCTACAGCCGCTCATGAAGATGGGCTGCAGAGTCAACAAGATCGAGCCTATATCTAAGTCGATCGATCGGAAGTGGAAGCACCGTGTGAGATACGTCGACAAGAACAGCGACGGAGAGGAGCGCACTTTCGATTGTTCGCATGTTGCTATATGCACTGGATTGCACGTCGAGCCCAACATTCCCAATATCCCTGGCATTGAGAATGTCAAAGGAGAAGCTTTTCACTCTTCACAGTACAAGAAGCGAGCACAGCTGACAGGCAAAGATGTGCTCATCATGGGCTGTGGAGAGACTGCCATGGGTACACTATACGAGGACATGGAGACGGACACACGCTAACGTTTGTAGACATCGCTTACGAAGCCATGAAGGGTGACGCCAACTCAGTCACCATGTGCTTCAGAACGGGCTTCCTTTCTTTCCCAAAGGCTCTCTCACGTTTCAAGGTCTTCGGCAAGCAGTTCAAAGGAGGTCTGCCTATCGACGGTCTCATCACCAACCTCTTCGAGACAGCCTACGTGCATCGCGCGATAGCTGCGAGTCGATTCCGATGGTTTGTATCAGACTTTGTCATCAAGCGTGTGTTATGGTTCTTGACTGGCACACAGGCGGGCATGAAGTGAGCTTCCATCTAATCATAGCGAATGGGCACATGCTAAACCAATACAGTCAACACGTCGGCGCCTTACCACACGACAGACTAGGCAGAGCTTTCGTCTTCCTAAACAAGAGCAGCAAAGCGATGCCATATCTGAACCGACCCTACAAAGAGAGCCACCCGCTCGCTTTCCTCGGCAACGGCTACGTAGACCCACCCGAAGACGCACAGTCGAAGAAATGGGTAGACACATGCACATTCCCGGAGCGCATAGACGAGACCGGGAGAGTAATATTCGAGAAGCGCCCCGATCGTAAAGACTGGAGACGCATGAAGGACACAGAGGTACGACCCAATTGCGTAGTCTATTGCACAGGCTACAAGCAGTCCTTCTACTTCCTCGACCCATCATATCCTACAGCAGCCGATGCCACCATCCGCAACATTGTCTCGCCCGCAGATCCTAGCGTATCCTTCATCGGCTTTGTGCGACCTGGTGTTGGCGCCATTCCGCCCATCGCTGAACAACAGGCCATGTGGTGGACAGCGCTCATCACTAATCAAATGACCATGCCCACCGATCCTCCGCACTACCACCTCTTGGCGAAAGAGACTTCGCGCATCAAGTACGGAGTCGATCATAGTGCGTACATGAGCACTCTCGCGAAAGACTTTGGTGGCGCTCCCGGGTTGCGCGAACTTTACATGGCACACGGGTTGAAAGTGCTTCTGGTATACTGCTTCGGAGCAAGCTTCGTCACTTTCTACAGGCTTGTTGGGCCTTTCAAGAGCGATGTTGCTCCTGGTATCACGAAGACTGAGTTGGCAGAAACTATTCTTCGCAGAGGCATTCTCGGCAATCTGTTCTTCGGGGTAAGCAACAACCAAGCGCATTTTTGTAGTTGGCGTACTAACGTCTTCGCAGGTGATACCAATGCTCTTCTACGGGTTGATCAACTCCACGGCCTGGGTGCTCGAGATGGTTGGCCTTATACCGGAGGAGAAGCCGGTGGTCTAATTGGCATGGAGGGTCCTGGCCACTACTATCGATCCTCTTGGAATGAATACAGCAGAGTGGATTGACAAATCTGGATCAATGTTGAAACGAATTTGAATGCGTGGCTATCTTCATTATGGTGCTAACCGAGGGTATCTCTCAAACTAACAAGCTGTGAATATCTAATACTACAGAACAAAACTCCATCTAAGACGAGTTACTGTTGTCCGCGCACGAGAACGCCGAGTCAATTGACCCATCCTTGTACGCGTCCATGATCTGGACAATAACGCCGTACGTGCCGCCGATCGTCAGGAACACCGAAATGCCGATCAAGATAACGTGCAGCGCATACATGATCTTCTGCCACCAGTTCCCCTTCCAGTAGCCCTGATGATCGTAAATCCAAAGCCATCCAGGTAAGCCCAACGCCAGCGGCGCAAACGCCACACTACCCGCCAGACTGAGCAGATAGTTGAAGATCGGCACGCCGGATGCGATGAGGAAGCTGACAATTGTCATACCCGTAACACATCCCAGCCACGTACCCCAATGAACCGGCGAGTTGGCCTGAAGATGTTTCGAGTTCCTCAGTATGCGGACGAAGATGTACTTCGCACTAACATGCACATACAACGCGCCACTAACACAAAGTCCAATAAGACCAATGCCGTACGCGACTTTCTTCACCATGGGTCCTGCGCTGCCGAGAGAAGGCGACGCAACCCACTTTCCGCACCACTTGTACACGACAAGGCTGAAGGAGAGGTACGCGGCGGTTACGAGGCCCATGCACCAGTTCACTGCTTTGCTGAATTCGCGTGGGTTGCGCATCTCGGACATGACGGGTAGGAAGGCGGAGGTACCCGCGCCGGAACAGAAGATTGTGCTGGCGGCTGTGATGCCTGCGGCGAAGGTTGGGTGGCCGATTACGTGGTAGCCGAATTCATAGGGCCCGGATTGGGGGGCTGCGGCGGGGCGGTCGAGGGTTGTTACTCCGACGCTGTTGAGATGCGTTAGACGTGTGGCTTTGAAGGGCTGGAGAGGGTTGGACTTACACGACGATGAACACAGCAACGAAAACAGAGATAAATCCCGCCCACGTAACCCACGCGATCTTCTCAAACTTCCTTACACTCGCACACGTTCCTACCATGATCGCCGCGATGATGGAAAAGTAGTTTGTGCAGAGGGAGTGGTTGGATAGCGCGTTGAGTGCTGTCGATACACCCACAATACCCGATGCCGCGACGATGATGAACGCGACGAGGAAGAGGACGCCGGTGATCTCTTTGACAATACGGCCACCGACTAGTTGACCCATATCAGCGATGGAATGACAGCCTGGGTGGTTGTTCCGGAATTGGCCTTGCACGAGGGCGCACCATGTGTTGAGGGCTTGCCAGCCGAGCACGTTGATGGCGCCGGGGAAGGCGCCGAGCGTATACATTGCGCTGGGGATTGTAAGGACTCCTGTCGCGAAAATGACTATATAGTGATGATCGTTAGCGGAATGGTCGTGAACTGGAGAAGGCCGTTACTTACGCTTCAAGAAGATGACTGCGGTGTGAACCCAGGACACCGTTCGGAAATCCTCATATCCCTCTCCTCGCTTGAAGATCTCGCCATCGTTCTCGAGGTCAACCTTTCCGTTGATGCTCTCCGAGCTGGTGCTTGGTGCGGGCGCAATGACATCGTCTTGCTTTTCAGCCGACATGATGGCAATGTCGTCAGGTAGTTGTGCTGTCGACCCAGATTGAGTACCGAACAGTTGTTCAACACTTCAAGTATCGGTACTTGGGTCATTGTATATATATCCGTTCATGTACGCATGCCACGCAACGGCCCTATCCTTGCCAGATGCAGGTGCCCTGGTAGAACGTTGATAACCCGCGTGGTAATCAGCACGCCAACGCGGTATCTCTCAGAATCCGGGGCAGGAGTGGATCTTGCCAGCCCGCTCTGCCCCGTTATTTTGGAGGTTGATAGTGGCGAGAGAGCGGTGCGGGCGTCTCCATCGGCTACGCGATTCAGGCGCAGGGGTGCCTCCAATGGACACCCCGGTTGGAGGGAAGGGTCGCCTGGGGATCATCGTTACTCCAACTGATTGCGGAGATGAGCAGCGGAGAGCGTGGTTCGGCGCGTGGACGCTGCATGGCTTGGAATCTGGGAGGGGGTTGGAGGCGATGGATATGCCCGATTGCTGGTGGGGTGTCGTTAGCGTTCACCCTGCAGTGGCTCGTTTGGCAGTTGCCGGTGGCTGCGTATGACGGCGGTTCCTGCGCGGGGCTGGCTTCTAGAACGGCGTTCATGTGGAGCTAGGTGGCGCGTGTTCGTGGTCTTACTACATTGTAGATGCCACGGACTAGTGGTGATGTTGTCTCTGGCGTGCTAGTGACAGCTAGCTCGTAGTTCGCATTAGGCACTGCTGCGATGCGTCCACGGGTCTTCGCTACCATCTGCAATGGACGATCTGCAGAAAAAGCAAAGTCGGAAAATCAAAAATGACATCAAATTGTTTAGTTAATCGGGGACTCCTTCAACTTGAGTCCTGCTTCAGATGGCATGAGCGCTCCCTCGGGCGGCGGGTTCTTCTTTCTGAAATCGTCCGCCATCTCCTCCATCGTCACAAACTCAACACCTTCATGCTTCTTGAAGTGCTCGATCAACCTCTCATGCATCAGGAGTAGATGTGGTCGTCCAGATACATCCGGGTGGATTGTGATGGGCTGCAGGAGTGTTAGACGAGTCCTTCAGGCCCTTCTGGGATACTTACAAAGATGAATTCGTCGTATTCGCGGTAGAAGTAGTCGAAATGGTCCCTCCAGAGGTCTTCGGTATCTCGCGCATTCACGAAGCCATGGCTGTTCTTCGAAGCCTTGATGAACATATGAGGTGGCAAGTCCTAACATTCAGTGTGAGCGATGTATCAGGGCGCAGTAAGTGGTACTTACGTCCAGATACCAGTTTGCTGGGATTTCGACTAGGCCAGTCTGTTGACCTGCAACGAGTGGCTTCATCCAGTCCTTGGCCTTCTTCTTATAATCGATCTTGGTCCAGGTATCTCCGGTTCTCAAATAGTAGGGTTGACAGTCGTGGTGGCTCATGCTGTGATCGTACTCAATGCCGTACGAGAGCAGCAGTTCGGCACCTTCGCGGCTTGTTTCCCACCTACCGAGATGGTCAGCGTAATGTCTCCAGCGGTGGTTTTCGGAATATTACCATGGCGCAACGCTTCCTCGGGGAGGCTTGCCAGCAAACTCTGTCAACATGCGGTACGTCTTGTCCAGCACGTGGTGTTGCTGTTCCATGCTCATATCGGAGGGGTTCTCGTGACTGTAACCGTGGAGGCCTATTTCATGTCCTGCATCGCGTACTGCTGCCATGTCTTCCGGGAATGTCTCCAGACTATGACCTGGAATGAACCAAGTAGTCTTGATGTCATACTTCTTGAACATCTTCAAGAGGCGCTGCGTACCAACTGTGCCGGCGAACAGACCACGCGATATGTCGCTGGTGCTATCTTCTCCGCCATACGAGCCAAGCCATCCACATACCGCATCTACATCAACACCGTACGAGATGAGAACGCGCTTCTTGCCCATGATAGCTGTATTGTATGGGAGATGATGAGTTGATGAGGTTGTCAATTGGATCAAATGAAGAGCTATCAGTCGGACGGATTCGTGTGGGAACAGTCAGACCAAACTGCCCGCACGGGACTACTTCCTCTTAATGCCATGATGCCGAACCTGAGAGCTATGGCGGGGTAAGTGGGATGGAATGATGCTGGACCGACGGCGCGCTTGTCTATTTCGTCATGGGATGCGCCAGCTGCCAGCTGCCCCTGCCTCCGCAGCTGCCCCTCGCTTGGCCTTATCGTCGACCCCAACCACCTCCAAATCTCGTCTCCAACAACATCCGAAAACGGTCCTACGCTCTCCAAGACGCGTTCGCATGAAGTTACGATGACTATAACCAGGGTGTTGAGTGTAATAACGCGGCGCGCGCCTTTGAGTACATCCATGGTCAATTACGAACATGTCTGATAAGATGCGCGCTGCACAGATAGTAGAGGTATGATGACGTCACGAAACACATCGAATCTTATCTAACAAACCCCGTCAGTTTGAGAAACCGTATCAGTTGTGTGAGCGGGCTGTGCCTCAATGCGGATATAATGATCTTCTCGTCGAAGTTTACGCAGCTGGCTTCTGTCACTCGGATCTTCAGGTCTGGGATGGTCAGTTTCCTGCGACCCTTCCCATGATACCATCGCACGAGCCGGCTGGAAAGATTGTACAGATTGGCGCGAAAGTGCAAGGCTCATGGATGGTTGGAGATCGCGTTGGAGTCCTCAACTACAAGAATGCTTGTGGACAATGCGCAGGATGTCGACAGCATGGACGACGAGCCAAACGTCCTGATCCGCGCTTCTGCCAGAACAGAATTGTCGCTGGCTTTAAACACGACGGTGCATTCGCGGACTACATGCTGGCCGATCCAAACACCACTGTGCATCTTCCTGACGGAGTTTCCTTCGAACAGGGAGCGCCTTTGATGTGCGCTGGCGTAGGTCCACCTTTTGTCGAAATTCTTTGCGCGACATCATTGCTAATAGCATGAAAGGCGACAGTATGGGGCGCATTGCGAAAGCTTAGTCCCCAGGTTCAAGCAGGCGACGCCGTAGCCATTGTAGGTATTGGAGGTCTTGGTCAGCTTGGAATACAATTCGCCAAAGCCCTTGGGTACCGGACGATAGCCATGGACAACCGTGAACAAGGCCGTCAGCTCGCGCTCGACTTGCCCGACCACTTGAGACCTGATCTAGTCATGGACTCGAGCGCTAAGGACGCCGAAGAGAAGCTACTAGAGTTTACTTCAGGCGAAGGTCTCGCGGGCATCGTAGTATGCACAGATTCGATACCAGCCAACGCGTGGTGTCTTCAGCAACTGGGCAACGGCGGTGTCATGGTTCCGCTCGGCTTACCAAAAGACAGTTGGAACTTCGACTCGGAAGCTATGGTATTCCATGAGCTTACCATAAAAGGCAGCTATGTCGCTAGTGCGGAGGAAGTTGAGTCCATGCTCAAGGTCGTAGCCAAGCACGGCATCTCGTCTCATTTGACCGTTTTGGGCTTTACGGAGATACCCAGCCTCATAGAAAGATACCAGCATGCATCTATGAAAGGCCGACTAGTAATCAATATGAAAGGATAAGCCTCCGTTCGGCCGGGGATGAGCTTGTTCTTACGAGCAGACTTGGAATCTTACGTGTCTTTTACGTGTCTTTTGGACTTTGGTCTGACATTATGAAACTTAGCAACGCAGACCCTCAAAAACGCGAGGCTCTGGGTACTTTCTGGTACGTTATCGAATCGAGTTCGCCACGAGTTGGGGTCATTTGGAGAGCCTCAGGCGTGATCTCTTAGTTTGTTTTGTGGGACCGTCGACCCACTTGCTCACCATTGGTCAAACGGTACGTAAGGACATCTCATCTACCTGAATATGGTAAAAGTCTCGCGGCAGAGTATACCGTTCAGCAAATTCTTATATTGACTTTAGCTATCGTAGTATCCAATTCACACAGCCGCACCTACGTAACCATCATGTCTGTCTTCTTCGACTCGCCTCTAAGGTCAGTACCAAATACTTTACTTTCCAAATGGAAATTGTGCGAGTATTGACGGTATTACAGTGAGGATCTTGTACGGGTTGGGGACGCAGAATCAGTACTACAAAGCATTGGCATCAGTAATGGCATTCCAGCACACGAGTCTCGGGACTACCACCAATTGCTAGCGGCGGTCCACGATGTGGCAGAGCACGTACTCCAACTTCCCGACTATACAGCACCTACCGATACCGAAAGATATCCGCGAGGACGAATTCACCGACCATCAGCAGAAGAGCAAGATTTCGGCAATGCTTGGGCCCATAAGTTTCAAATACGCGGTAACCCACAAGGACATCTCCTCCAAGGAAAGACTGTATGTCTCAAAGACAACATTGCAGTGGCCGGAGTACCGCAGTTCTTTGGAACAGACGCCATCCCTGCATGGACACCCGATTCAGACGCCACAGTAGTTACCCGGACATTAGATGCTGGTGCTGACATCGTGGGAACGACCATATGCGAAAACTTCTGCAACTCCACATCGTCATTCACTTCAGCGCAAGGTACCGTTCACAATCCTTTCGCGAAAGGTTACTCGGCGGGTGGCAGTACATCTGGTGGCTGTGCAGTAGTCGGAGGTGGCTTAGTAGATATCGCAATTGGTGCCGATCAAGGTGGTAGTATTCGCGTCCCATCGTCATTCTGCGGATGTAAGTACACCGTAACTGTTGCGTATCACGTCATGATGTAGTGCGAGGCTGACGATATACACTAGGTGTTGGACTAAAACCAACGCATGGCCTTGTTCCCTACACTGGTATATCCAGTGGCGACGCTGTTAGTGATCATGCTGGGCCCATAGCAAGATCAGTTCGCGACGTTGCTTTGTGTCTTGACGCAATCGGCGGAAGGGATGACTATGATGACCGTACACTTGGTGCACCAACCCATGGGTCTGCGCAATACGCAGACCGTCTCCAAAGCTCGGTCGCAGGAATGAAGATTGGCGTTCTTAAAGAAGGCTTCGAGCACCGCCTGGTAAACCAAGACGTCAAATCAACCGTGAGAAAAGCCGTTCAGTCCTTTGAAGAACTAGGTGCTACCGTCGAAGAGGTCTCATTACCCCTGCACTTAGAAGGACCAGCTATCTGGACCATTCAACAGCGAATAGCAGGTACTTTCAGCATGCTAGGATACGCGCACGGTCGCAGAGGACTTTTCTCAACGGCCTACGAAGCAGCTCGGCAACCATGGACGAACGAATCATTCCAAAAGCTCTTCCCATCTACGAAGAATACTATGATCAACGGCCTCTCGCTGATGCAGAATTACCCGGGCCTTTACGCGAAAACCATGAATGTGGCCCAACAGCTCCGCGACGCGTATGAGAAGCTGTTTCAGGAGTATGACCTTATCATCATGCCGACAACGCCTTTTGTAGCACCGCCCAACATAGATTGGAAGCGCGGGGAGGATGCGCCGATAGACGCGCTGAAGCCAAGTATGGGCATCACCATCAACACCGCTATTTTCGATGTAACGGGGCATCCGGCCATGTCAATTCCCGTAGGCTTTGCTCCTTCGGGTGTTGATTCTGAGGTCAGCTTGCCGGTTGGTATGCAGTTGGTCGGTGGCCTTTGGCAGGAACAAAAAATACTAGATGCGGCTTTTGCCTGGGAGTCGGCAAACGACTGGAAACAAATCGGCGTGCGACAAGACCAAGAGTCGAAGCATGCTACGAAGCTGTAGAATATGTCGTCATTTAAAATATCCGAAAACTGGCTTCGCTATTTCAACCAATATGTCTCGTCATCGCGATATCTTTCCGATCAATTTATCGTGTAGCCACCATCCACAACTAATGCATGACCTTGGATGAACGATGATTGCGCTGAACACAAGAAAAGCACTGCATCAGCGACTTCTTCCGGCGTGCCCATCCTCTTCATAGGCGCTATCTCAATAGCAGGCTTCAAAGCTTCCACCATAGCTGGCGACGTCGTAGTCATGGGTGTCTCAATAACCCCAGGACAAACACAGTTCACGCGTATGCCATCATCGGAGTAGTCGATAGCATTCGCGCGTGTCATGTTGATGATGGCACCTTTTGACGCGCAGTATGCCGCTGTACAACGCTCGTTAGTTGAGATCCTGCATGTCGCGACACGATCAACTTACCAGCACCCGGCCTCGCTACGATGCCGAGCTGACTAGCAATATTGACAATAGAACCTCTTTGCTTCGGATGCTCGTCAAGCGGCTTCTGCTTCAACATGTTTCGCAGCTGCGCGCGGCAACTAAGCCATGACCCCTTGTAGTTGATAGCATTGAGTCGATCAAAATGTTCGGTCGTCATCTCTACAGCTTTGATGACATCGCCTCCGAGCACACCAGCACAGTTGACCCCATAGTCAAGCCTCTTGAAATTGGAAAAGGTCTCATCGTTGAATGAGTCGACAAACGTCTCATCCGCGATGTCGCCAGCTCGCTGGAAGACCTGAGCGGAAGGGTTGATGCTCAGGATAGCGTCCCTGGTCTGGTCGAGCGTCTTCGGGTTGATGTCGGTGATGGCGATTCGCGAACAGCCTGAACGGGCGAACCCCTTCGCTACGGCCGCACCAATGCCTGATCATTATGAGCATGGCAATACAACGTCGCATAAGATAGCCACCTACCAGTTCCTCCAGCGCCTGTGATGACGGCTACACCTGGGAGTAATCTTGCAAGCGATGCCATACTGCTACCATGTGGCGGTGAAAGCGTGATCTACCGAGATACGCGCTCACTGATTGCCCTGATACACGCATAAATGCACTCAAGAATGGTTAAGGGATAGCGTACCGACACGACGTTCTGCCGGCGAGACGTTCGGCGGCCATCCCGTCGAGTTCCGCTATCTTGGAGTAAGCGTTCCACCTACTCCGAAGATGCGCCTTGCGCTAACCACGGCGCTATTTACCCCGCAGACATAATTGGCCGAGGGCAAAACCTTGAAGTAAAGACCAAGACCCACCTCGCTCCAATTCACCCCCAACTCCAACAATTCTCACACCACATGCACGGACTCGCTCACGTTTGTACCCATTGCTCCAGAAGCTTCAAGCGAGCAGAGCATCTGATTCGCCATACTCGTACACGTTCGTGCCTTCCTCTAAGTGACTCCACGATGAAGGCGTCGTCAGAACTGATGTCAGCATAGATACCAGAGAAAAGCCGTACTCGTGTCGATGCGGACAAGCGTTTACACGCCGTGACCTGCTTACTAGACATTGGCGCATCACGCACCATGCTGGCAACCCTGATGCAGAGTCGACCACGTCGACTGAAACTGCAACGACAATAGACGCACCCGCTTTGAACGTCCCCAGCGCTGGGGCCGTCGAAGCGCATCTCGTCCCGCAGGTCCACGCAAGCCAGCTTGATTTGCAACATCCTCCGCCCACCTACCAAGAACTCCAGCCGGCGCCGCCATATCGCGACGAAGGGTTTGAAGATTTCCGTGACTTTGTAAACTTCATCGATGGTGTTGGACTATCCGCCCAATGGACGCCTGAGTACGACTTTGACTGGATGCGACTAGGAGAACCTCGTCAGGAGTCTCGGCGGCACTCCCAAGAACCAGCAAATCAGCCTTCCTCCCCGGGTGCAGAGGACATCGGCACGCCTTTCAGCACGTGGCTACCATCAGCTCCAGCTGACGATGAGGTCCATTTGCGATCGAATGCGCAGGATGGCGAAAAGAGAACGAGGAACGGGACGTACAATGTAACGGATGAGCACCGAAACTTCCTGGTATCCCTACTTGAGAGCTTTGCTCCTCCCATCGCCGACTTCCAGATTCCTTCCCGACATACCCTTACCAGGTATATTACCGCGTTCTTTGGCGGTTTTCATTCGCACTTCCCGTTCATACATGCGCCAACTTACAAACCGTCATGTTCGCCTCTGGAGTTGACTCTGGCCATGTGTGCAGCTGGTGCACAGTATTGCTTCGAGCGGAGAAGCTCAGAACGTCTCTTTCGCGTATCGAAAGCCATTGTCTTCGAACGCCTACGACAGGAAGAGTCGCATTTCGGGCCACAAACTCTTTCCTTCATCGCTTCTACGAACATATGCTCGCCAGAAGCGCATTTCATTAGCAGACGCACAGGACCATGGTCGCCTTTGGACATGGCGAAGACCCTACTGATCCTGGTAGGGTTTGCGACATGGGAAAGGAAAGACCTACTTCAGCAAGCGTTCGCACTTCGAGGCCTTCTAGTGCAGTCGCTTCGAGATATAGGTCTCAAAGAAGAGGAACCGCCCAGGAATATATCGACCTCTAGAGCAGCAATGTGGGATAATTGGGTACAGCGCGAGTCATCCAGACGTACAAAGCTCGTGGCCTTTTGTTACATCAACGTGCATAGTATTGCATACAACATCCATCCCCTGCTTTGGAGCAGCGAACTTCATCTGCGACTCCCTTGCTGTACACCGGATTGGCAGGCTAGTAGTGCCGCACAGTGGGCTGCGCTACAACGCGACGGACGCGAGGATCACATGCCCTTTCAGCAAGCGTTGTCGATACTTTTGCAAGGAACGACAAATGAAGGTAAGCTACTATCGGAAGAGCTATCGAACGCGAATTAACATACTTCAGAACTAGTCCATCCAATTCCGAGCCCAATCGGCAACTACATCCTTCTCCATGCACTGCTTCAGCGGATTCATGTAGTCAGGGAGCTGTCCTTCCCCGCCACATCACCTGCAACAATCTCAGCTGCAGAGCTGCAAGTCATTGGCCGCGCACTCCGCGCATGGACGTCCCTCTGGCAGCAAACCCCAGAATCAATGCTCGACCCCAACAATGAAAGTGGGCCCATCCCTTTCACATCAAGCGCTCTGTTGGTGGTAGCTTACGTGCGGCTCTCCCTCGACATAGGACCTTACCGTCATCTAGAGTCGCGCGACACCGACGTCATAGCCAACGGCCTAGCAAACCTCCCAGACATTGAGCGCAACGACAACATACTATCAGCCCTCTTGTACTCAACCCATGCGCTCAGTATACCCGTCAGACTAGGTATCGACAGGGTTGCGCGCAGCCAAGCGTTCTTTTGGAGCGTTCAGCATGCCATATCGAGCTTCGAGTGCGCCATCTTCCTCGGTAAATGGCTGTGCTCTATTCCTCGTCCATTCCGCGAAGAGTCCCTGTCGCGATCTGAGCATCGAATCCTTCACTGGGTGAGATGTATCATCAAGGAAGCGTATGCGGTGATTGACTTTGAGGATGCTGAAGAGACTGATGGTTTCTTGACTGTACCCAGCGAGCCCTTCGCGCTTGGTCTGGCCGTGTTGAACATTTGGTCGAGGTTCTTTCGCGGTAATACGCAGTGGCAGTTTGTTGTGAATCTCGGGTTGAGCTTAGAGAAATACATCGCCAAGCTGGCTTGAACTATATATTTGTTCGAAACCCACAGCCCATCATACCTTATCATTATGCATCTTCTCATCATGAGCCTTGACAGTATCCATAACCTCACCATCCCCATCAGCAAAAGCCCTATCTCCGAATGCAATCGCGATCTCCTCAAGCGAATGATTCGCCGTCTCAACATAGTAGAAGTGCGCCAGGCCTGCGGAGAAGAGACAGAACCCTGCGATGACAAGGTAAAAGTATCCACCAATACCTGCGAAAGCGTCCGGCGAAACCATGCCGATAATGAAGTTGAAGATCCAGTTTGACGTCGTCGCAAGCGCCATGCCCTTACTGCGGCTGCGGAGCGGGAAGATCTCCGCGGGTAGCAGCCACGGCATTGGACCCCAGGTGAAACCGTAGACAATGTTGTAGAGCATGATAAAAGCGAATTGACCGTTTGCGCGGGTCATAATGGGCATGGAAGCTTCTGTGAAGGCGCAGACGATGCCGAGAAGAGCGGCCATGAGGACACCGCCAAGGATGAGGAGTGGCTTGCGGCCCCAGCGGTCGGCTAGCCACCAGGTTGCGACAGTGGCTGCGGTGTAAGGAAGTGCGTTCGCGGCGGTGTAGAGAAGGGATTTCTCGTCTGAGAAGCCGGCGCTGGAGAGTGTGGAGGGGAGGTAGAAGGATATGATGTTTATGCCGTTGAGCTGGGCGAACATCTGCACTGTAACGCCGACGATTGTGCGCTTGCGGTAGCGGGTGAACATTTCCATCCATCCAGCTTTGCCGAGCTCAGCTTCGTAGACGACGGCCTCCTGGATCTCGAGAAAGACCTTTTGCACATGCGGTGCGTCGGTATCGCCGCTGGAGTGCAGGTCTGCAACTGTTTGAAGGCTTTCTTGCATGAAGCCGTTGTTGGCCAGCCATCTTGGAGTTTCCGGCAGGAAGAATGACATGACCACCAAGATGAACGAGAGGATGATCTGGATGATGAAGGGGCCTTGCCAAGATAGCGCGTCCGGAAGCATAAAGTGGAAGCCGTAGTCGACCCAGCAAGATAACATGTACCCTGCAATCAGGCAAGTATACTCGATGCCGACCATGAGGCCTCGAGCATGGGGTGCTGCAATCTCGGTTTGGATGATAGGAACTGTCATGGATAGGAAGCCGACTCCGAAGCCCTGGATCGTACGTCCGACGACGAAAGTTGCGAAGCCTGGAGCGAAGATCTGGATGAAAGCTGAGAGGAAGTAGATCAGGCCACCGAGACGGACAGTGCGCTTGCGACCGATCATGTCTCCGAGACGTCCGGCGATGAGAGCACCGACAGCGGCAGAGGCTTGTAGGCAAGCAACAGAGATTCCTGTGATGGAAGGATTCACAGCTGCTGTGCTACCATCTGCACCACCGTAATCGCTGAAGAAACGTCTGACGAAGACTGGATTGACCAGTAGGCCAGACATGATACCTAGCGGAATCAGTATTGTTGATCAACATGCAAGTACCCGAACACACCTGAATTGTAACCAAACAAGGCATCACCAAGACTGCCAAAGCCACATGTTGCAAACAACAACGTCTTGCCCTTGATAGGATACCTGGCCGTGATCTTCTTCGGCTTTAGCTTGCTTTCAAGCCATCCTTGTTCGGCAGCGACCTGTCCAGCTATTTGCGAGGCACGTTGCTGGATGTTGGCGCTCTGACTGGCGACTGAGTTACTGCGGGCAGCCATGTTTTCAACCAGTGTAGAGCAAAATAAGAGCAGAGAAGTAGTGCGTGTTATGGATCACACAGAGGAGATGCGGTGGGATGATGGAGAAATCTGGGGAAGCCTGACGGCTTTATCGTCCCCAGATTTTCGTAGTGGAGCGCATTCGGCATCATCGTATGTAGTCAGGTCATGTTACGGTTCCGGTCCTAACGTTGGCCCTGCAGCGACGAAATTTGGTCGGCATATGCTAGTGTGTTTCTCGAGAAGTTGATCAACGCTGTAGCGCTAAGGGATGCTTTGCCAGCCAATCAGAAGCGCTCTTCTCAAAAGCCGCGGAACCGGTGCTGGGGCAGAGAACTCCGGGCTGGCGGCTCCGACTCGTGCGCATCGGAAGGTCAGCAGCCTGCATGAGCCGCCGGAACCGTACTGCAGTCGCTCTCGCACTCGGGTAAGGACGCCTGGCCGGTGATATAGTCAGGGCCTCAAGATGGAGACATCAATTCTAATCATTGCCGTACACGGTGTTTCACAGTCATGTCTTCAGCTGATGTTCACGAACCCGAGAATTCCTCTGAGTCTTTGACGTCGCCTGAGAACCAACTCACAGCGCCAATGAACACGTCCTTCGTCCTGAGCCCATCGAGGCAGTTCTCATACGAGGATGGACCAGTTCCGAGTCTTCCCACTCCTAGGCATGTTCGAGTAAGGATCGTGGCTACCGGCCTCTGTGGTTCTGATGTATGTAATGCCCGCTGTGGTCTGTAATGTGTTCACTGATATTAACGGTAACATAGGTGCACTATTGGACACATGGGCAAATCGGAAGATATGTGGTCGAGAACCCGATCACTCTCGGCCATGAATCTGCTGGTATCGTCGATGCTTGTGGATCAGCCGTCACAGGGTTGTCGGTGGGTGACCGCATCGCACTGGAACCTGGCGTAGGATGCAACACCTGCGAGACATGTCGCAGCGGCCGATACAACCTATGCGAGTCGATGCAGTTCGCTGCCACCCCTCCCTACAACGGCACGTTATCAACCTTCTACTGCCTACCAGAAGAGTGCTGCTACAAGCTGCCGTCACACATATCCTTCCGCGAAGGTGCCCTCGTGGAGCCGCTAAGCATCGCTGTGCATTGTTGCGGACTCGCTGGAACTCTTCAGGGCAGGTCTGTGGCGGTATTCGGGGCCGGGCCCATAGGCTTGTTGTGTTGCGCTGTGGCACAGGCTTTCGGCGCTGCGAAAGTCCTAGTTGTTGACGCAGTGGCCCCTAGGCTGAGCTTTGCGACTGGCTTCGGTGCCGATGACGTATACATGATGGAAGCTGGGTTTCCAGAAACGAATGCTCAAAAAGTTCTGGAGAAGGCTGGGCTGGCTGCAGGGTTTGATGTTGTGATCGATGCAACAGGAGCAGAGCCATGCATCAACTGTGGTGTAGCTGCATTGAAACGCGGTGGAGTCTTCGTTCAAGCTGGGCTGGGCTCTCCCAAGATCGCATTTCCAATCGGCCAGATTTGCGACAAAGAAGCTACGCTCAAAGGAAGCTTTCGATACGGGCCAGGAGATTACAAGCTTGCCATCCAGCTACTAGAGTCCAATCGTGTTCAACTAGATAGTCTTATTACTCATGAGTTCGCGTTCTCAGATGCGGAACAGGCTTTTCAGAATGTTGCGGATAGAGTCGGCATCAAGTCGCTCATATATGGACCAGGCATAGATAGGGCGTTCGCAGAGGATCGCACCGTGCAGCACAGGCGTGTGTCTGATCTCCCGAGACTCTAGTCTGTAATGCACTGAACACATATCGCAATAATGAAATTGCTCGAATTGAGACGCGTGCCCACCAAAGGATGTTTGTGATGCGACAGCTAGAATTGTGGCTCGTTCCAGACGGAATCCCAGAACCAGTATAGGCCGTTGCCAGTAACATCAACACCATGTTCATCGCTGATCCAGTCCAGCTCGCCTTCGAGGTTGAAGTCTCCGGCGCTAGCATTTGTCCAATCATTGTGTTCGCTAGACAGGTGATCCATACCACTGTCGTTCGTGCCCCATTGCGGGACATAAGCTGTGTCGTCACGGGAGACGCTGTCGAGGGCGGCGGGAAACACTGTGAAGAGTATGTGATTAGATTGGTACGCAGCTTCGGGAATGCATCAATCTTACCTCTCTGCACTGACGCCATGCTCTCGTGAACGCGCTGCATGCTGTCTACTGTACTCTGTTGCTGTCTGTTGTGTCCACTCGTCGGCAGTTGCGTCGGCAGACGAAGGGTGTCTTCGACAGACATCTGCGCCGTCCCGATGTGCGATCTTGTCACATCGCTCTCGCCAAAGATGGCATCTGCTTCTCTGCGCAGTAGCATCTGGATGACGTCTTTGAGAACCGCATTACTCTGCATTGAGAGCTGTGTCCTTTTGCCGAGTAGCTCTTGCAAGCGAAATATGCGTGTGATGGTCCTTTTCACTTCCTGTGCTCTGTCCGAGAGTGGATCAGACAGCGCCAACACAGCCATGACGATGGCAGAGTTGAACAGATTGATAGCCAAGAAAGCTACCAGGTGACTATCAGTGGCTAGCTGAGAAAGCCGTGGTAGTTCGGTCACCTTCGATGTTCTCAACGCGGCATCCCACCATTGCTCCGTGCTCGACATATGGCTTCTGTTGAGCGGGCTGGACCCATGAACCGCATGAAATGGAGATTCGGTGTTCGTAAGGCTTGCTGGAGATAATGCGTTACCATGCCCGCTTTCCGGTTGCGTCCTGATCAGGTGGTCCACTTGTTTTGCGATTAAGGGGCGATTGAAGATGATGAGAAGGTTGTCGAATGTAAGCTGAAGGGACAACGCCTGCAGCTGGTGCACCCGTGCGGTGCGTGATTGATCCATACTGCAGTCAGCAGCCATGTCTAGTAGAAGATGAGGCGGCAGACGTCGGCGCCACGCCCAAAGTTTCTCCGTCACGTCCGTGATCTGATCAGTGTATTGTGGTCCGCTCGGCCGTTCGTTGGGTCCCACCGCCCGCATCCCGAAGATGGTCTCGATGATGGGCGACGCGATAAGGTAGAGTTTGTTGAGCTCTCGTTGGTAGGACGAGTAACATATTGTTGAGTCGGCTTCTGGGGATTTCGTCCCTCTGAAGTAGGGCGACTCGCATACGTCGATCGGATGGTGTGTATTGCAGTCCTTCTCGTTGATGCCGATGGGTCGTCCGTACGTAATGGAAGCAAACCTGGTCAAGTTAGCTAATGATGCTACAGTATACGAGGAGGCTCAGACTCCGTACTGAGGTTCTTCGTATCTTCAGGAGGGGCGCATTACCGGTCCCATGTGTAGATAGTCCACCAGACTCTTTTCCTCTCTTCGACATAGTGAGGGTCGCCTCGTAGCGGCTGGCGGTGAAGGCCGATGGCTTGTGCCGTTCGAATGGTTGCGCCTAGTAACGCAAAGGATAGATTAGGCTTCCCATGGTAGACATAGTAGGAGCCGAGCAGGATGCACGTCTGAACAGACGAGATGGTACTCTGGTCCATCAGTTCAGCCAATTGGGAACCCGCGCCTTGAACGAGGGACTGCGACCAGGCGTGCCAATCCTCGTCTGGAAAATCCGGATCCACGTCCTTCCTGTGAGACTTGTACCATGCACCCATTCCCACAACTGTAGACAGGAGGAGGAGGAATGACTTCTGCGACGGATAAGCGAGGCCATCCTTGATAGAGTCGAGTTTTGGCCGGAATCTTGGCTCATAGATGACCAAGCTAAACCAATGCACCGAGTCGAAATACTCTTCTAAAAGTACTCGCATCATGTCGATTGGTGGCAGAGGATGACCAAGGACTGCCGCTATAGGGCGTCTCTGAGTACGATCTAAGCGAGATGTTGGGGCTCTGCCATAGAGATTGCCGCCCGGTATAGCTGATGTTGTCCGGCTCAATGTTGGCTGACTTCCCAGTCGGTAGATCTGGTGTGCAATATCCATGGCTGAGTTTGCTTCACCTTCCGCGATACTGGCGCGTCTGCTTTCATCGCGACTGTTGTTCTCCGGGTCTGTCGCTTGATGCGTGTCATGATGCTCAACCGGTGCCTGTGGTTGCTCATGTGAAGCTTCGCTGGAGGGGCCTTGGGTGCGTCTCCTCTTCGGTGCGCGTGAAACTTCGACATTGCTTACAATGCATTCGACGTTTGCTCGAATGCAGAGCGCGCAAGGGCGCGATGTGTCGCACTTGGATACTCAGTCGGCGGCGCGCGGAACAGGCGGTGGGAGGGCGTGACTGACTCGGCTCTTGTTGCGACGACACCTCTCACACGCCTTGCTGACCCTGGTGGGTAGCGGACGCCCGGCAGCGGCATCAAGAGTTGCCGAAGACATCATTTGGGTGGTGCCATGGATGAAGTTGCGATGGAACGGGTGAGGGCGCGCACGCGTCAGGCACGCCAAGTCAGCTGCGGAGCTCGCCGAGGTTTGCACGGTCGCCGTCGTTGCCGCTGCCACTGCACTCTCGCGTCGTTTGCGCCCACCAATGGCATTTTCATCGCTTTGCGTATCGCCGAACGCGCTTCACAGGTGATGAAATACGCAGTATTAGACAGCTCGCGCGCCTGATTCCCTCCGTCATTCCGTCTCGATGTTACAGATCCAGCGCTTTCACCAGCCCTATCAGATCAGCATCAACAATCATCGGATATAGCACCATATCGCTTTTTGATATCACTGAGCGTGATCGCGGTCATGGAACGTGGTCAAGATGGAGATGCGCCATCCGGGGTCTTCGTGGACGAACAGCCGCCTGCAAAGCGACGGCGAACATCAGAACAACCTGCTCGAGAGGTTGGCTTGATGCGAAGCGTCCCTGGTGACAAGTTTACAGGCTTCGTGGGCAGTGCCAGCGGTATCTTCTTCATTAGGGCAGTCTATGGTGCGATCCGACGCTCTGCAGTGCCTACAGACGGCGAAACGCCCGGCAGCGACATCGTGCCAGGCGAAGACGACCATCTCTCTCTAGTGCAACCGAATTCCTCCGGACGCTTATGGCGAGAAGCTGAGATCTCACACGATCAGACCTCTCACAAAACGTTTCGCGACCTGGTCGCTTTTTCTGGGAGCTATTTTGCCAATTGGCACCCGTTCTACCCGTTCGTGCACGCCGCGACCGTCCTAGAGTACTTCGACTGCTATGCAAGAAATGGCTTTCCCGATCATGGTGCTTCGGAAGACCTACAGCTGGTGATAGTGCGTTCGATCATGTCCATCTCGCTTGCAGACCATCGACAATCGCCAGGGCTACCGAATACTCGACATCCTGCCTGTATCGTCTTTCCATCGTATGATGCTGCTGTAGATAGTCTCCGGACGATACTTTCTCGTCCCACGACAATACTTACACTACAAGCCGCACTCAGTGTGCAGCTTTTCTTGGTCTCTATGCTTCGCTTGAACGCCGCCTCCCGTCTTGGAGGGCTGATAATGCGGATGGCTGTACAGCTAGGCCTTCATCGTTGCCCAGCCAGATTTTCGACCTTCACATCAAGCACAAAGGAGCTTCGGCAACGCGTCTTCTGGTCACTTTATGCTGTTGATCGGCTTCTTGCCCAATCCATGGGCCTCCCACTCGGCCTACCTGACGACGATATCGACGTCTGCTTTCCCCTCGCGGAACACCATCTGCAGACGCGCGTCGAGCCTCGTAAGTTAGGTGATGTTTCCTTTGTGCCATATCTCACAACCTGCAGGTCGTGAACTCCACCTGCTGCACCTGGTTGCCCAGCAAGCCAGGCTGCGTGGCGAAATCATCGAATTGCGCAACAAGTCGCTACACTACGTCCAGCATGATCCTGACCGAGCGACATCAATCATAGCTAAACTTGGCCAATGGTGGAACGATGTTGAAGACTTTATCGACCCGGATAGCCGATGTGGCGCTTCTCCTTACGCGACTGTAGTGCTGACACTACTTAGACACGAGTTGATTATCTCGCTGTATCGTCCCGTCTTAGCTACGGGTAGTAAAGATGTCGCCTACAATGCCGCCTTACAACAGTGCATCTGTTCTGCGCGTAGCATCATCACTACCTTGCACACCGCTATACAGGGCAAAGACGGGCCTCCAAAGTATCATGACCAACTGGCACTCCTTTGGCCCTCCTGCACCTGGGCTGTATGGATCAGCACATTCATCATGTTCTACGCCGCCCACGAGGGCCGAATTGATCACAGCGTCGTCATAAGGTAATCAATACGTCGAGATCGCGTTACTCAACTAACATGTACGATCAAGGTTCGCAGATAAAAGTCTCGACATACTTCAACACCTCACGCTACGCGGCAGTGCTTGGCCTGAAGCAAGCTCGGCGGCCATTCGAGACTTACGGGCTCGGATGCTGCAGAAGTCGGCTCAAATGGTTTCTAGATACGACTCGGAGGTCGCGGGAGATGCAGGCCTTGCTCAAAAAGGTGAACTGAGCGTACATTCAAGTCTGCACAAGCAATCATTACCTACCCGCAACGATGATCCAGAGCAAATCGGTAGCCAAAGGAGGAACGATATCGATCCTCATCATGACGCGCAGTATCCTCCATATGATGCAGCATTCGATTCCAGTGCGACGAGCAACCTGAACCACAATGCCACCTTTCTTGAGCACAACAGCTACTGGAACATCTTCGTTGGAACGGAGGGTGCCAACGCTTCATCAGCAGAGTACTCCAACGGCCTAGACCCTTTCTCTGGTTTCGACATCCCCTTCTGGTTTGATCAAGAGCAGCATTGGGATTTCACATAGTTTCAAGCGCCAGGATTCATTCGAAGTGCTGGGTGTGGTGGCATGGTTTGGGAGCGTCGGACTTTGTTTGTCCGCGTCCCCCCCGCACTTACCCTTTTCTAGCGCACTAGTGGCGAGCTCGGCAACAGTCCCATCGTCTACGAAGTGTGAATATGGGGTTTCTTAGTCCGGACTATGAGGCTTAAAAGATACTGCGCATAGAAATTCAAGAGATATCAACTCAGGTGCTTACCGCCGTTACGATCACTCATTAGCCGTTACTCCCTGTTCCAACCCAACATTTCACCAGCCACCAACATGCGCACGCACTCTATCGCGACTATGGGCGCCGATGGCATTGGCCCTGAAGTTATCGATGCCGGCGTAAAAGTATTGAAGAAGCTGGCACAACTTGACGGCACATTCGGACTACAATTTGAAGACTACGACTGGAGTTCTGAGACCTACAAGAAGACGAGCCAATACATCCCCGATGGAGGATTAGAGAAGCTCAAGAAGCATGATGCGATCCTGTTCGGTGCTGTAGGTGCCCCGGGTATGTACCAGATGCTGAGTCTTTTGCAATGTTGGTACTGAACTCCTGACAGATGTACCTGACCACATCTCTCTATGGGGCTTGCGGCTCGCGATTTGCCAGACCTTCCAGCAATATGCCAACGTGCGACCCACCAAGATCTTCCGGGGAACATCATCGCCTTTGCGGAACGCAGAGCATGGCGACCTAGACTGGGTCATCGTACGCGAAAATTCCGAAGGTGAATATGCAGGACAAGGAGGCCGGTCGCATAAAGGCCAGAAGTGGGAGACTGCTACGGAGGTCTCGATCTTCACCCGTCATGGTGTGGAAAGACTCATCCGCTTCGCCTTCGAAACAGCTCAAAGCAGGCCGAGGAAACAGATCACAGTCGTTACGAAAAGCAACGCGCAGCGCAATGGCATGGTTATGTGGGATGAGATTGCCGCTGAAGTTGCAAGAGACTTTCCTGATGTCAAATGCGACAAGATGCTCGTTGACGCCATGACGTGCCGGATGGTACTTGACCCGAAATCGTTGGATACGATAGTTGCAACAAACTTGGTGGGTAACACAGAGTATTCACCTCGGCTTTAGCTGACTCGTCCAGCATGCGGATATTCTTTCCGATCTCGCAGCCGCACTGGCAGGCTCCATTGGCATCGCTCCCACCAGCAACCGTACGTATTCTTCAATTCCACATGGTTGCATCCATTGCCCATGCTAAGTGTTACCAGTGGACCCCACACGCCAGCATCCGTCCATGTTTGAACCGATTCATGGCTCGGCTTTCGACATTACCGGCAAGGGTGTCGCGAACCCCGTCGGAACCTTTTGGACAGCGTCTGAGATGCTAGCATGGCTAGGCGAAGAGCAAGCGGCAAAGAGATTGATGGAAAGCGTGGAAGCCATCACGGAGCGAGGCATTGCCACGCGCGACCTGGGAGGCAAGGCGTCGACAAAGGAGGTTACTGACGCGGTCTGCGCTGAGCTAGAAAGCACCTACGGTAAGAGTCAGTAGAAGCCAGGGTCGTGATGGGGTGGGCCTGATGATGCGGCAACGTTAGCCGCTGGCTCCAACCTGGTGGAGCGGACGTTGTCCGGTGCAAAACCTGACTCGTAGCCGATGCGATTGTCCTTTAGGCCTACAACGCCATGTGCGAGCCATCACGATAGCTTGAAACCGCCATATTGTTAAGTTCAGAGATCAGCAACACCCGTCCACATCCGCGCATGTCGATCGTGGCTACGTTACCTCTCATGAAGCCACCACTGCCACGAAGCCATTGTTGGGACCTTATGTGAAGTTTAAAGCAGAGCCTCTGCCGATCTCTTGTTTCCCCTATGCGGTCGCACACCCAAAAGAGGCGACGATTGACAGCATCTCCATCGGTCGCATTAACCCGAGGCATGCTGGTACCACTAGCCGTCTGCAACATGAAGCAGTGGATACCTGAGCGACCAACCCGGAGCTAGCCCCCGCATCCTACCCATCCTTCCCCGCACACCACCGAATCACGATTCCCTGTATGCAGTCGCCCAAGCTCAACTGCCGTGGCATTAAGGCATCCCCCACCACCACCACATTATAGTGTCCGTCGCATCTTCGACAATTTAGGATTGCTTCCACGCTTCTTCCATCTATTTGCTGTGCGATCGAGATTGCTTCTTTGCATATCGTTTATCCTTCCACGTGTGCTCCCTTGCGCTACCATTCCAATCACACCGCGGACATAGAGTTACCATGCCTCTGGGTATACTCCAAGACTACAAGCTCGAACATGTCCCTGGGACAGCTCCGTTAAGCGAGCTTGGTCGCATTGATCTCGAGATCACGAACGATGTTGATCGCGGGCTGCTGAAGCATGATCCTACTGGGCAGATTGTGCTGGTGCCGCAGCCTTCTGATTCGCCGAACGACCCCTACAATTGGCCAAGATGGAAGAAGGAGATGTTCACCGTCGTCATCGCATACGGTTGCGGCGCTGTAGGAGGTAGGCTTGCGATATCAAGACACGACATACTGAGCTAATCGCATCAATTGTAGCTGTCGGTCCGCTGCTCACACCAGCTTTCGTGCCCCTGGCAGAACAATTCAACGTCCCATTACAGAGGTTCACTCTGGGTTGCAATGGATCCTGCATCGTCGCCATCGCAGTGGGTAGTCTCATCTGCAACACCTTAGCCGTCAAACTCGGGAGACGACCAATCTACCTCGCAACCACAGTTGGCCTGGCGGTGTCCTGTTTCTGGGCTGCGGAAGCTACCAGCTTTCCTTCTCTGGCGGCAGCCCGAGCGGTCCAAGGTCTTTGCATGGCACCGTTTGAAGCACTCATCCCAGCATCCGTCGGAGACATCTGGCACGTTCATGAGCGCGGGTTCCGAATGGCCATCTTCAACCTTGGTGTCCTCGGTGGTATCAACCTAGCGAGTCCAATCGCTGGATCCGTCATCCAATACGGCTCTCACCGCATCGCATTGCACGCAATGGGCGGTGCTTTTGTCATCATGCTCATTCTCATCATCTTCTTCATGCCCGAGTCCGCCTACCACCGCCACGAAGTCATCAACATCGACACGAGCTCCAAGAATGTGGAAAGTGACGCGGTTGAGAAGGAGAAGTCCGCCGAGCGCGTCGAAGACTATGCGGTCCAGTCGTCCGTCTCTTCCGAGGCCCCATACCCTTACGTCAAGACTCTCATGCCATGGTCTGGTTACTGGGATCATGTCTCCTTCTGGCGCACATTCCTACGCCCCTTTGTGGTCATCATGAGCCCGGTAGTCATGTGGGCGACCTTGCTCTTCACCATCTGCGTATCCTGGCTTGTCTTGATCTCCATCACGTTGTCGCAGATCTTTTCCGCGCCACCATACAGTTTCTCCGTGAGCGCGGTTGGCGCAACGAATCTGTCCTCATTCGTGGCGTCGTTGTTGGCCACGCTGGTAGCCGGTCCGATCATCGATGGTGTGGCGAAGTGGATGTCGACACGCAACAAGGGCACTTTCGGTAAGTGCAGACGATCCAAGCTGTGATTCTAAACAACTGACAATGCTTTAGAACCTGAGTTCCGTCTCCCTGTTATGATAACCTACCTGATCTTTACCGCAACCGGCTTCTTTGCTTGGGGCCAATCACTCCACAACCGCGATCCGTGGCCCATCCCAGTCATCGTCTGCATGGGTCTGATTAACCTGGGTGTTCAGTTAGGAACTACCGCCGTCGTAACCTACGTCTCCGACTGCCATCGCGAGCAGGCCGCCGAAGCCTTTGCCATCATGAACTTCGTCAAGAACCTTTTCGCATTCGGCCTGACGTTCTACGCCAATGACTGGATCGCGGTACAGGGTGTGAGGGACGCATTCTATGTCATTGGTGGAACCACTGTCGCTGTCACACTTTGCACGATTCCAATGTACATTTACGGCAAGCGTGCGAGGAGTTGGGTGAAGAGATGCGGAGTACTCGATAGTGTTCTCAAAGCCGAGTAGAGGATCAATCGTGCGATGAGAAGAGCCTGCGTGTTTCGTGAGCGTTTCCCAATGTATTTCAAACTCTAGAATGTATTACCGTAGCAATAGTGTTCCAAGCTTTCGATCGTGTCATACGTCCAGTGCCGACCACAGCGTGATGAATGGCCAGCATCGCCTTCCGAGTGTAAACTGGTCCTGCGGCTGCCGACAATCGGCATCTTTGGTGGTTGACTCGTGTGACTGAGAACGAGGCGTCTACCTGACTCAGTCTGACTGGCATAGCAGCAGTATCTGCCAGACACTCCTCTCGAGTTTTAGAAGTAGTTTTCGTGCCATCTTGCTGGGTCAGTGGGAGCTCGCTGCATGTTTGGTGCTATAGGCATTTCGCAGTCTTTCAGTTGCTGCAGGACTGACACCAGTGGGGATGTATCGCCGGGTAGCTGGCGAGAAGCGTACGCACCACTATTCGGTCGACCTTCGGCTGTCCTGGATGTCTCGCGCGCTCTGTCGCCATCAGGGACGGAATTGCTGTGTCTCGACGGAAGTATTTCCGGGGCTGCCGTCTCGCGACACTGTGCTTGCAGCCAAGCTGTCAACTGCTCGGTCGTCTGCAAAGGCAGGCGCTTCCATTCTTCAAGCTTTTCTGCTTTTGAGCCTTGTCGCTTTGGCGCGTGCGATGATGGATCTGAAAGCCTAACGTCGTTCAACCGTATTAAGTCTTGGTTTTGGACGACAGTGAGTGTTGCGGAGAGTGCAGCCTCGGTGTCTGCCAGCCGCTTCTCAAGAGCAGTGATGTATGCGGCTGGAAGACCTCGCTTACCACCCTCTTGATAGTGGCATGGCAGCGATGATGTCTGGCACTGAGAACAGCATGGGCTGTGTTGGTTAGATGAAGTTCTGCAGCTGGCATGCGGGTTACCCACAGCTTCCGATCGCACTTGCACTTCTTCGATCTGCAATTCTCGCATGCGATGGGATTCAACTGAACCTCCAGGTCGCAATGTCAGTGTATTTACCACAGTGCTGGACGGATTCGCGCACCGCTTCAGTCATAGTGGGATGATGATGGAAAGTGTTGGAGTTTGAGGAGGCTGGAGCTATCCGGAAGGTGTGGCTTGGTGATCTGTGCGCCACGAGGGAGCCAGCCCCTAATGGCAGGCGCGTCAAGCCCTTCACGTCATTTCTCCGACGCGAAAGCATCTACTTCAGAGCTTGAAACGACACAAATTACGGAAGAGCAATGCTACTGAGCAGAATGCGCATCGTGAATTGGTGTAAGCTCCTGCTGAGAGCCGCCTGCGAATCGATTGCCGTTGCGGCACTACCGCACAATGTTTTCCGCCTGAAGAATGCCCGGATTTTTGGCCCGCCGATCCAGCCTCTTTCGCACTTTGTCGCCCAGATCAGTCGAGAAGTTGGCGATACTGTGCGAAAGAACTTGTGGAGGGGCAGGAGAATTTCCCCCGCATTCAACCTTACCTGTTGCACCACGGACCGCGCCATACATGGCTAGTGCTGAGGTCCATGTCGGGCATCGGGTCATTTGAGTCCAGCCCTGCATGCACATTCACGGACCTGAGTACACGATTTTGATATTGAAGCTGACGGTGTTAAGTAAGGCAGACTAGCATAGCACGGCATTTATCCGCACGACAGAGAGAATCAGCCTCATATTTCCAGGTATGGAGCAATGAGACTTGGTGGTGTTTGTATCGTCGCAAGACAGGCATTCGTATTTCCTTTGATCAACGGTCATGCTTCATGATGAAGGATGCGTCAACCGTACCACCGGGCACAAACCCCGCAAAGCCAAGAAGAAAGCGAGGCAGATCCAGCATCCCTTTGTCGGTTCGACGGTTTCTTGAACCGGTGAAGTGCTTGGCTTCGAGTATGTAAGTTGAGAAAGTGCCATCCTGACGCTACACTGAGTACCTATCTCAACCGGAAAAATCATGGCACCAGCAGTTGCAGGCCCTGGCGACGGTATCATCGAGCGCCTCGTCGCCGCCGATACGGTACGATGGTGGAATAAGCCAAACCTCCGACGTCTCTACCTATTGTTGGTACCTTTCTGCTTCTTCATTGAGTCTACTTCTGGATTTGATAGCTCAATGATGAATGGAAGTAAGTAGATACTACTACGGAGTCCCTTGAGATGTGATACTGATCAAGTATGACGCTTTCAGTGCAAGCTCTTCACTACTGGCAAGAATACTTCAATCATCCCAAAGGAGGCCAACTCGGATTGCTTGTCGCCTGCTACAACCTCGGCGCTATATCAAGTATTCCGTTCGTTTCTATCGTGTCTGATCATCTTGGAAGGCGGAAGAGTATCGTCTTGGGGTCCACGATTATGATCATCGGAGCAGTAATGCAGGGCTTGTCGCAGAACCGTGAGTACCTTCAGCATTCTTGTCGCATCCAGAGATCCTTACAACTAACATACGTGTAGTCGCCATGTTCATCTTCAGTCGCATATTCCTGGGCCACGGTATCGTTTATGCCATCATATCCGGCGCCGCTCTTCTCGGCGAACTAGGCCACCCTAAAGAGCGACAGTTCTTAGGCAGTCTCTTCAACGCATTCTTCGGAGTAGGCTCAGTTCTCGGAGCGGGTATAGGTGAGCAATTTTCCTCCACCAAAGGCAGATGAATGCATGCTGATCTTGGCTCCGATGTGTAGTCGTCCGCACACTACTCATTCCGAGCGACTGGTCTTGGCGCCTCCCCTCCATCCTCCAAGCAGGCCCTTCTGTTATCCAGATCATCTTCGCTTTCACGGTCCCGGAAAGCCCTCGATGGCTGGTTTCGAAAGATCGGAGCGAAGAAGCTCTTGAGATCTTGATCAAGTACCATGCTGAAGGCGATGCATCGGCTGAGCTACCTCACCTTGAGATTGCTGAGATCAGGAAAGCCCTGGAGTTGGAGAACGAATCGCGACAACGTGGCTGGGCCGAGCTCTTCCAATCCAAAGGCATGCGACACCGTGCCCTTGTCGCCGCCGGCCTTGGCATTTTCGTCCAGTACAGCGGCAACAATCTCATCAGCCAATACCTTGTGCCTATCCTGGAAAAGATCGGCATTGAAGATAGTCATACCCAGGTGCGCTACAACGTCGGCTCAGAAGCATGGGGCTTCCTCATGGCGCTTGTCATGGCAACTGTCACACCCCGATACCCACGTCGCAGGATGTATCTGCTGTGCGCGAGTTGCTTATTGTGCGTGTACACCGCTTGGACCATTGCTCAGGCTCGTAATCGCCAGACTGGATCTAAAGAGACAGGCTATGCGGTTCTGGTCATGATCTTTCTTTACAAGCCCGCTTACAACATCGCCTACAATGCCCTCACATATGTCTACATGGTCGAAATCTTCCCCTACTACGTCCGAACCAAGGGTCTCTCATGGTTTCAACTCTTCAATCGTTGCTCCGTCATGCTTGGATCCTTCACCAATCCCATCGGACTGGAAGACCTTGACTGGAAGTTCCTCTTCGTGTACATCGCTTTGCTGTGTTGCGAGATTGTGTTCATCTACTTCTTGTTCCCGGAAACGTACGGAAAAACATTGGAAGAGCTTACTTTCTTGTTTGAAAGTGAGAAGGATGATGCCGATGCGCTCGCTGCAACCACCGCCAAGGTCATGGGTCAGGATAGCAACGCCATCGAGCTTCATGAAGCGCCAGACAAGAAGGCCTAAGTCGCAAGTAAAGTGGACTGAGGTCGATGGATCTTGCAAATGACGTTGCATTTGGCGCTCACAAGGCGGGTTTTGAGGCCGCTTGGAAGTGAGCCGCATTCCTTCGAGCGGGTATGAAACGGTCGTGGATGAAAATAGTGGAGATGAAGATGCATAATTTGTGGCTGTTCAGCACAAGTCAGTGTTGCTCGCGGTCGTCTCCGGTAATGAATCATGAACTAGTCCTCCCTTTTCCGTGTAAGATTTTGCATCGCTCATTGTGGCTCGCAATAAACACTTTGGGGTCGTGCAATATTAATGAAGCCATGGCTGACATCAGCTCAACACCTTTGCAATGTTACCCGTCTGGCCGTTCAACGTTCCGATGTAGCATGCGGCGCAGCAATATATCAAACCATACCTTGCATGCAACGCCTGAAGAGGCTGGAAATTGCGCGGATCTCCACTTCCATCATAAGTTTGTTTCGACGACACAACGCACCAATGGCCCGCTCTTCTATGCGACCATGACACCGATCAAGCGACAGCGGCTACAGAAAACAGATCTCCGACTGATCGGGACCTGTGGGGTATCTTCCGAACGAATGGGAATCTGGCGGCTTTGAAACAACAACAGATGGGCATAAGCTTGGCCAGTGATGGTACGCAACGATCGCAATGCAGCCTTGATAGCCGCGACCCGGCAGACTGGATTTAGCGTACGCCGGTGTTAGTACACGTGTCAGTACTAGGGAACACCGAATCGCATGTTCAGCCTCAAGCCACCGTAGTATCAAGTCAGTAAGCGAAGTGTTGGTTGTAGAGGGAGGGCTAGCTAAGAGGTGTCAGACGATGGTCCACCATAACACACCTGGTATGCTTCGGCTACTCCAGAGGAAGGCAGTTGTCACGCTCCTGCTTGACACTGGGAGACGCCGTCACGTGAAGCTTGCTTCATGCATGCATGCGTTGTTTGCTTTGCACCGAGATGCTGAATGCACGATAGACGCGACGTGGAATATTCGAAAAATAGACGCATGGCTAAATATTCCGCGGCGTTGATAGGTGGCTATTAATAAGTGGGGTTATCGGCCCCGCGCTTAACGATAGCGCGACCCCGCTATCTGAACCCCCAAAAATTTGTCGAAACATCCCGAGGCCGTCGTTCCCACCACCTCCACAACCACCCACGTCGCGCGAGTTCACGCGATACCTCCGAGGCTGGAAAGCGGCATTGCCATTCGCTCACCGAGCAAAACCAACATGTTTCCCCAAACCCGCGCTCCTTACATTGGCTGCAGCGTCCGATGAGGCTCGAAGCGCTTATACGACTGTGCCTCATTGATGCATCGTCATCGAAACGTGACCTCATGGAGGGGCCAAAAGCTAAGAATACGCCTAGCTGCATATGTTTTAATACCACAGCGGCAACGAGAATACGCTAGCCTAGCCATGCGGCCATCCCAGCGGTTATACACATGCTCTGTACGGCTACACCCACAGCGGTGACCCGGCTTGACAGCTCCCGACGCCCGCGCCGCACGCAGGTGTCGTGGAGATGGCCTTCAGCCGCCTTTCTTGGCATGCTTTTCTGGAGGTTGGGTCTGGTCCTTGCGGCTAGCTCGTGCCGTGAATGGTGCGTTTGCTCGGCAATGCACCGGTTTCCAGAACGAAGGCATAGTTTGCATGTACGCCGCAGTAACAGTGCTGTTTGATGTTTCGAGCAGGCTCCAATCATGGAAATGGCTTGTGGAGGCTTATACTGCAGCTCGATGTTGTTATAGTATGGTGATGGACACCGATGGTAAGTACCTGGTATCAGTCTACTGCTTCTCTCCAGTCTGGCACTGCTCTACTATCTTGTACGAAGCAACATCTTTCCATCGTTCTCCACTTTCTTCGTACCTTAATTCGTATTCACGTATTCTTTTAATGCCTTTCCCGATATCCACATCAGGCTACTATCCCAACATGTCTCATTCTCCACGCACCCCTATGCGTTCGCCTGCTTTTCCCGACATTCCAATCTATCTGGATACAGGCGATGAACGAATCACAGCAAAGACATACGGTACAACACCAACTACGCCAACTACACCAGACATCATCCCTCCTCAACGACCAACACACCTGAGTCCGTCACATATCAACGCGCCACCCATCAGCCCGGCCGAGCCAAGCCCTACAACCACTATCGAGACTTCCAGTTGTCGGTCAGTCATCTGGCCTATTCCAGAACCACCACCAGAGATCCAGCACCAGTCTGATTCTCGGCGACCGACTCTTCGCTTCTTCCCGACTGAACGCCCTCGAGTCCGTCTCGATACCGTTCATTCCCTGCAGGTCCCTTCCATCAACGAGAAGACTCCGATCAGTTACTATCATCCGGGACTCGGCATCGTCAACGGACCTCCCAAGCCCCCATCTATCGAGATCTCTCCACCCATCAACGAGAAGTCCGATCCGTCCGCAAACTTCGCACAACGCATTGAGGAGACCCTATGGAGGTACAGCGCTTCAGGCAATGTATACAAACGATGGTTGCTTGAGCTTCTAAGCTGGCTGTTCAGTGCGTGCTGTATGGCGGCTGTCGTCGGAGTCCTTATCGGTCTTCAAGACAAACCACTTGCGAAGTGGGTCTTAGCGGAGAAGACTGGGTTGACACTGAATACTTACATTTCCATTCTCTCCAAGATGGCTGGCGCTGCCCTTATACTACCTGTATCGGAGGCACTTGGTCAGTTGAAGTGGAGCTGGTTCCTCGAACATTCCAAGCAGATGTGGGATTTCGAGATCTTCGACAATGCATCTCGAGGGCCGTGGGGATCACTACTACTGTTGATTCGTACTAAAGGCAAAGCACTGGCGGCGCTTGGAGCTATGATTATGCTCTGCTCTCTGGCTCTTGACCCATTCTTCCAGCAAGTGGTCGACTTCCCGGATCGCTGGGCATTACAAAATACCACTAGTGCCATCCCAAGGGCCCCGATGTACATGCCGCCTTACGTTCCTGATTTCTTTCATGGGGAAGAACAAGGACAAGAAGATCGCGATTTTACTCCTGTCATCAAGAAGTTCCTCTATGGCAACGGAACTCAGCCCATTCCCTTTCTGAACGGTACAAAGCCCGAGATACCTCTATCGTGCCCGACGAGCAACTGCACATGGCCAGAGTATGAAACCCTGGCAGTTTGCAGTAGTTGTGCCGAGGTCTCTCATCTCCTGGACATCAAATTCGACTGTCTAGTAGACACTACCGTGGATTGGACTGCTACTTGGCAAGGGCCATTGGACGAGGTACCCTACCCGAATGGGACAGTGTGTGGATACTTTCTCAACATCACAAGTGCTGCGCCTATTCTGCTCTCTGGGTATGTTGCGCATGCCGACGAGTCACAGAATGTGACCAACGAGGCCTTGATTGCCAGGACGATACCTCTTTCAGATTTCGACACCAAGGAGCCACTCTACGGCGTCGGTTCCGTGAACTACAAAGACATCCGCAATCCGATTCTCGACGCTCTAATTGCATCAGCAATTGACGGCCCAGCAAGCGTGTTCCGCAACGATACACCTGTGGTACATGAGTGCATCCTGTCATGGTGCGTTCAAAGCATCAAGTCGGCCTATGACTGGGGAAAGTACACCGAGAATGTTACTGCCACTTATCTGAATACACCTGACGAGCCGTTCTCATGGCCATGGGAGGTCTATGAGGCTGAGACTGGCCAAGACCTTATCTACACCCAAAACATCACGCTCAAGCCGCCTCCATCACGTTTACACCGATTGAATACAACGGCATACGACAAAACATACAGAGTCGATAATATAACGGCATACAAGACTATGGGTGTTTTCGACGACTTCTTCCCTTCATACTACACTCTAGAAGATGGGTCTCCAGAAGCTTTGCTAAGGTACAAGAACTATTTCGACGGCCCATCAGTACGGACATTCGAAGAGAATCCATGGCTAGCTTCCAATAATCTCACTCGACACATGGAGAGATTGGCCAAAGTTTTGACGAATGTTGTGAGATCGTCGGATAACAAAGTCATGACCCTAGGCGACGCTTACACCAGGGAGAATTATGTTTCCGTGCGCTGGGAATGGCTTACTCTTCCTATCGGTCTGCTCTGTATTTCTTTCATTTTTCTTGCGGCAACTGTTGCAAAGTCCGCTGTTGAGCGCGATCGCGTTGGAGTGTGGAAGACTTCGGCGTATGCCACTTTACTCTATGGTTTACCGGATGAGATGCAACAAAAGATCACGAGATCTGGGAGTTCTGGGACACCGAGAGCTAGAGCTAAGGAGCTAAAAGTAAGATTGCAACCTAACCAGGGCTGGCGGGTGTCTGGAAATCTTTTCTCTCCTTTCGTACCCAAGCCGAAACCCAACCTTCCGCCCCCGGGATGGATATGAATAGCCAGTTCCTCCAAGAAGAAATATTACGAAATTGTTATACAAAATTACCTGCCAATTCGACCGTACTTGCAGCCGTCAATGATCGGGGGTTGGGAATTACAAGGCTTCAGGAAAGTAATCGCCGCGAGACTTGCTCAACGGACACCACCATGGTCATTCCTTAGTCGCCTCCGCGTCCTCTGCCTCCCCGAATGGATCGGCTCATCAACGACCTCCTGTCGCCCTTGCCTCCTCGAATGGCTCTCTCATCCACTGACCTCTTGTCGCCCTTGCCACCTCGAATGGCTCTCTCATCCACCGACCTCTTGTCGCCCTTACCACCTCGAATGGCTCTCTCATCAACCGACCTCTTGTCACCACCACGTCCGCGACCGCCACGAGTGGCCCTCTCATCAACCAATCTCTTGTCGCCACCACGTCCGCGACCGCCACGAGTGGCCCTTTCATCAACAGATCTCTTATCACCACCACGCCCTCTGCCGCCGCGAATCATACGCTCGGCAAGCAGGTCACTAGACTCTGTCTCGACTTCGCGCTCGATGGTCACCGCTGAGCGACCTTGCACTGGGATAGCTTCGATAAGAGGTGTTCGGCCATCGAGGATCTTTGTTGATGTGCGGCTGACGACCGTGTCGACAATCTGCTACATGAGTTAGTTCAGAGGCTTGCTTGGCTTGTCATGATGTCACTGACGTCTGGAACTGGTACCGGACCAGCAAAAATCGGAAGAATGAACGACGCAAAAACGAGGAAGGTAGTGCCGCGCATGATGACGTATGTAACAGTTGGGTCTTTGGACGACGCTGATAAGAGACGGCAACGGAAAGGCTATGTGGCTGTCCGGCAAGGGATGAATGTATCCAAGAGGTGGTTCGACTGTCTGTCACAAGGAGGATGATGCCTTGACGAGGGGAGATGTCGGTGCATTTATCCATCAACATCAAACCATAACGACGACATTGTGAGCCACCCTCCACAACGGGCTCATCTCCACTCCCTGGTCACCGGCGCTTCAACCCGTGGTGACTCTCACCCTCGTAACCGCCTCCGAAGCCACAGATGCAGTCCCAAGGGCATGGCACCGCAGGCACAATGCGCGCATCACGCGAAGTTGTGCAACCATTGGGAGGTAGAACGGCGAGCATGATAGCTGGACCACGAATGAGGCAAGGTGAAACGCAAAGACCGACGCGTTGGAACACAAGGCGTTAGGCCGCGAGCTTGTGGTGGCACGAGAACGCATCGCAATGGATCAGGAGAATTCTGCGATTTCATCACACGGGATATCACATTCGAAGCGCTCGAAAGGGCAGGGCTTTCTACAAGGCGATCCTGTCCGTAAGGTCGAGATCCTGTAAGTACGATTCATCACCTGTAATTGCTGTAGTTCTCGTCAACTGCCCGAATGATTTCTAACCAATCAAAAGGATTTATCGATGTGATGTGGCTTGGCGGCGTTTTGGACTTAGCCGGGGAGTTGAAGCGATTGGCTCTACGCGATCGGTACCTCACGCCCATCAACCGTTCTTGCGACCGACTCACAGATTCTTTCCACACGTGATACTTTCCGGCGTTACGCTTCCTCCAATCTCTTTGGCTCATTTTGATAGACATTCAATACACTCTGTTTGCGACGCAACTACGCTCTCGAGTGTCTGTTTGAGCTCGTGTCTTTGCAAGAATCTGTCGTAAAGTTCGGACGTTCGGACCCCTGCCAAGCGACTGTAGGCGGCGTTGAGTTAGATTCCATTGTGATGCATGCAAATAAACCCCTAATTACCGGCCAGTCCTGTGAATTGGAGGCCCATGTAAAGTCCGGCTGGTAATGACGTCCACCACGCTGTACTCATACCATTGCGTCAGCTTCGCATCGATGTAGAGACTTGATTCAGGTACCCGTAGACAGTACAAGGAGCTTCACCAATTGCGGGTAGGGATTAAGCGCCCCCCGGGATCTAGACTGACGACACCAGGGCTCTCTGAAACGGACGCTGCGTGTGTGTAAACCTTGTCAACGCCAACCTTCATGCGGCTATGTCACTTTGTTTACCTCTGTCTTAAAGCCATTACTGTGCAACACACGCCCAGCAATCCCGGAGGCTGTCTTCGAGCCCTATGCGCAGTCCATCACATTGCCCATGCATGGTGATATCGATCGCCCCTAGGTCCCAAGTTTCCGGCCGTTCAAGGTTGTCGGATCAGCCTACCTTGGTACTTGGCCCTTTGTGGCCGACTCGATGACCGCCTGGGAAGCCACATGGCGTCGTGAAGCGAGTATCTACACTTACACGGGATTGAGGCCTCCGCGCTTTCCCGTCTTCCACGAGCTTTCGGGGTACGGAAGACAGCTATCGCATCAATGTGCATCCGGTACCTAGGTAATGATACTTACTGCGGGTAGACACAACTATAAGGAAGTCCATGGAAATGGGGATTCACAAACATGCAATCTAAATTAGGTGGTATTACCGGATTGCGCGCATTCGGATCTTTTTCAACATTATGCACCCACGTTGCGGCGCAGTATATGTCTTTGTACACCTGTGCATCGTCTACATCTACCTAAGTAATCCCTCGCCGCGCGGCTTTCAAACACGCTTCACTCAATATGTATTCAATACACGAGATCTGCTTCGTCCAGTCGAGCAAGAAATGATGCCTAAACGAATACTCTGACACTGCTCTTGCCTGCGCCCTCATCTCGATGGTTCTTGGAAATAGAAAAACATACCCGTACATGCCAATAACAACATCTTCTGCATGCGATGAGAGCTAGAACATTCCGGTACATACCCACCCCAAACATGATCACTGTATACTCAAGTAGTGTATCGAGATCGCAGAACAAAGTACGTGCATCTAGAGAAGAGAAGACCACGGCTCAAAAAGTGCAAGCTCACCGAGTCTTCGGGGCAGCTTCGGCTCCATAGCTCGCTTCCCAAGATCGGCCCCCCTTGCCTCGAACAGACCGCCTTGCGCTCTGCCTAGTGCCCGCGTGCCCGCCAACCCACGATGACAGCTCAACCCCAGCGCTTAAACTGCTCATCGTTCTTACTGCTTGATGTGGCCTCGAACGGTTCAATACGCAGTAGCTGCGGGAACGCTAAGCTCAGCGCTACCACAATCTCGGCCTCATGGTTTGATAAGACCTTATCCCCGCGCAACCTGCTGTGGGCGCTAAACCCCCCACTCTGACAGGTCTAACGGTGATGCTGGGCAGACACAGAAGCTTTCGCATCGCCAACGCTCAGGTCATTTCTACATGCACACCTGGCAATCATGACCTGCCCTAGGAAGCAAGCCAGTAGCGATGTCGCGCTTTCTACACGAGCTGCAGAATGTTCGGCCGTTAAGCGCTCGATTGTTGATTCAATTGACATACCACAGGAGGCTACCAATGATTAACTCTAGCACCGCTTTCAGGGCGTCACCTCTTGACCGCTCATGTGTGCTTCAGATCTCGTCAACGGAACATGCGCACAATGTCACGACAACACGGAGGACTTTTACCTCTTACACTTGTGCAATCGCGACACTTGCATTCGTCATCCCCGAATGAAGGCCTGAATATACCACCTCCGCCATCCTATCGAGCATCTGTCCACGAGAAGCATCGTCTCGACTTCCCCGGGCGCATAGAGCGAAAGCTAGCGCACTACAATGCTTCGCAGAATGTTTACAAACGCTGGCTGTTCGAGATCATCAGTGTGGCGATAAGTGCTATCTGCATGGGTGAGCTGGCACCATGTCGGCCTAATATGTACATATGCTAACTTAGAGTGCAGGCACAATTATCGGGTTACTCTATTATCTCCACGATCAAGCCCACAACAAATGGCCTGCAGGCCTGACGATAATCACGGTTCTTTCGAAGATCGCCTCGGCAGCACTCATTCTGCCTATATCGGAGGCTATCGGGCAGCTGAAATGGACCTGGTTCTACGGGAAGAAGTCCAGAGACGCATTCGACTTCGAGATATTTGACAAAGCATCGCGCGGTGCATGGGGATCGTTCATGCTCCTGTGCCGAACGAAGGGCAAATCACTTGCCGCACTAGGTGCCCTGTTGACAGTCCTGCTACTTGCGATTGATACTTTCTTCCAGCAGGTTACCGACCTCAATGAGCGTTGGAAGCTACAGGGCAACAGCTCGATTCCACGAACCGTACGATATACCCCTTCCCTCGCCCTTACATACGACAGCACCTGGGACAATGAACCCGTGGCCACGATGAACCAAGACCTCAAGAGGGCCCTGGATCCATTTTTCTTTGACCAAAATGGCACACGTCCGTTTCTCACCGAGGGTGGTCCTCAGGCTGAGATACCACTAGTGTGTCCAACTAGTAGATGTGAGTGGCCGGCCTATCAGTCTTTGGGAGTCTGCAGTGCCTGCGAAGACGTGTCACACCTGCTTGAGTATGATTGTCTTTCCATGAAGATGGACTGGATTAGAAACTCAACTGGTCCTGGGACGGAGGATACATATCCCAATGGTGAGATGAGCCTTTCATCATCGACTATCAGTCTCGGCCATGCCAAGCAAGGCCGCCGACCAACCTATGCAAGATAAAGTTGACTAAGGCTGACATTGTCGTTGTGTAGGTACTGCCTGTGGCTATTTCCTGAACGCGACGAGTTCACTGCCTGTCCTGATGTCCGGGTACAGAGTCGAAAACAGCACGGATTCCCCTTATGGAGAGACCCTTCTCATGCGCACGCTACCGCTCGTCACAAACCCTTTGAGGTCACCACTGTACGGGGGTTCTATCAACTTCAAGCACATCAACTATCCTATCATCGATGCGATAATCGTAAGCGCAGCGGATGGCTCCTCCGAGAGCGTCTATCGCAGAGCCCTCCCAGTGGCTCACGAATGTGTCTTATCCTGGTGTGTAAAGACACTTCGCTCCTCATACGCACGAGGAGGTTACAAAGAGGAGGTCATCGAGACCTTTACCAACACGACACAGATCGAATACCCATGGTGGGGCGAGAGTGTGGGGCTTGGCATGACGCTGACTGAGTTTGATGCAAATATCACGATAACTCCACCTACCAACGACAACTATACGACCACTTATGGCGTCTCAAACGAGACGTTCATGAACACAATCTTTGTTCTGGACGAAGTGTTCCCCTCCCTGATTACTGTCACCGAGCCATCGGCCAAGCCATATCTGAAGATCAGAACTAGCTTCATCGATCAGGTCATGTTTCGAGAAGTTCGGTTCAACCCATGGCTTGCTCCCAATAACGTCACCTACCACATGGAAAGGATAGCACATGCTCTAACGAACGCAGTCAGGTCTGATGCTAACAGCAATGAGCTCATCGTTGGAAGCGCCTCATCCCCGGAGACTTATGTGGTGGTTCATTGGGGTTGGCTTGCATTTCCTCTGCTTCTCCTTTTCCTAAGCATCGCATTCTTGGTGGCTACAATGATCAAGACTTCACAACACGCATACGATGATATCGGCAACTGGAAGACTTCCGCCATGCCGACGCTGATATACAGCCTGCCAAAAGACCTTCAACAGGGACTCAAGACACCGGCAGCATCAACGCGCACCTCCCATAGAAGGTCGAAGAAGGTCAGGATCAGGCTCATGCCAAAACAAGGCTGGAGAGTCTCTGGTATAGTTCAGCCCGCGCCGACAGCTCCACCTGGTTTTATATAGCCACAAAGTCTTGCTCGTTATACACACGAAAATGATGAAGTTTTTCAAAGTGCGCGCCAAGATTGGCATGTGATCCAGTCGTACGCAAAAGGCATGTGAGGCTCGGTACCAATCGCTCATGCAGCCAATATCCTCGATTCTCTGCGCAACATGACAACGAGCCTGGCATGAGCGCGTCTGTGTTGCGACAACATCTCCGCATACCTAGTCGGCGTCAAAGCCAGCGGTAGACCGACCGGTGTCATTGGCTCCTACCGCCAAGCCACACGCAGGATCAACATGGTTACCTAGGTAGACATGGCAAGTCTGCACGACCATGGAGTCGCAGCTGCTAAGCGCTAGAACCGTTCCTTCGGCGGCTTTTATATCCTGTTGGCAGGCTTAGTGTGTATCCGGCGGCTGGTTATCTTCAGTCGTAGGATGTGTATACACCACAGCGTGGAATTGCCGGACCAACCTCATTCCCACTAAAAGCTGGGGTAACGGGACCTCATAAACGCCTATACAATCGATGCGATAGCGTGTCGCATTCACTCGCCAGTCGTTGGGCATCATCAATCGATCCACAAATCTCCCATGAGCAGACCACCTAGTTATCCATCTGCCATCTCAACTCACCCACGCAACCAAATGACAACACTTCCGCAGTACGAACCTTCAAGGCAGCTACCGCAAGACGTCCAGAACAATGAGCGCTACATATCGCCATCGTCCAGCCCTGGCGAAAACGGAAAGAGACCACTGGATCTGGTACAACGTCTAGAGAAGAAGTTGGCCGCGTACAATGCATCCCAGAATATTTTCAAGAGGTGGCTTTTTGAATTAGCCAGCTGGCTAATAAGCGCGGTGTGCATGGGCGCGGTCATCGGAATCTATATCACCGTCAGCGGCCAGGAGATGACCAAGAGCGAGCAGTCCCTCACGGTGGCCAACACACTAGGAAAGATAGCATCCGCTGCACTCATCGTGCCGACCTCGGAAGCACTTGGACAGCTTAAATGGAATTGGTTTCATAAATCGAACGCTATGTGGGATTTCGAAATCTTCGACAAGGCCTCACGAGGTGCATGGGGCGCTACGCTGCTCCTCTTTCGAACAAAAGGACGGTCGCTGGCTGCCCTAGGTAAGCTGTGGCCGTACGAACCATGTGAGAAATACACTGACTTCATATCTTTACCTCTGTAGGAGCCCTACTAATTGTGTTGCTGCTTGCTATCGACACTTTTTTCCAGCAAGTGGTGACATTCCCGGATCGTTGGGCCCTGCAAACGGCACCAAGCTCCATTCCCATCGTCAAGACGTATAGTCCGTATTTTTCCAAATACTTCATCAAGGGTGATGAGATAGCCATGTACGATGAGGTCACCTCCCCGGTCATCAAAAGCTACTTTTACGGAAACGGATCGATACCCGTTCCGTTCGGAAGTGGATTCCGCCCGGATATACCGCTTTCCTGTCCTTCTAGCAAATGCACTTGGCCTACTTACGATACCCTTGCGACGTGCAGCAGCTGCGTGGATGTTTCTCACGATCTAAACATCACGTATGCCTGTCTGAATACCACAATTGATTGGAGTGTCAAATGGGAGGGCCCACTAGCAGATGTACCATACCCGGTCGGGAACGTTTGCGGTCATTTCCTCAACCTTACGTCGGCTACGCCAATACTTCTCTCAGGTCGTGTCGTGAGCGAAAACGGCACCACAAACTCAACTGATGAGGTCTTGCTGGTGCGCACGATTCCTCTGTCCGACATGAACACGAAAGAACCCTATTACGGCACTGGCTCCTTCGCATTCAGAGACATTCGCTATCCCGTCAGTATCATCATTGTACGAACTATATGTGAGACAAACGCTGACTTTGTACACCGATCTTTAGATCACCGACGGTCTCGTCGCATCAGCATCGAACGGGATCGATAGTGTATACGGTCGCGAGCCTCCTGTGGTGCACGAGTGCATGTTGTCTTGGTGCGTTCAGCGAGTAAGATCATCGTACGAGTGGGGCCTATACAGCCAAACTACCGAGTCAACATTCCTCAACATTGCGAATGATACTGTCCCTTGGCCATGGATAGTCGACGGCAACTGGTATGAGTATTCGCCAAACATCACTCTCGAAGCGCCAGCCGTGGATTATCCTGATACCAACAACACTTATTCTGTGTGGAACGAGACAGCTTTCCAGATCATGGTCATCTGGGACGATTTCTTCCCGTCATCCTACACGGCTGCGGGTAGGGGCTCAAAACCTATATTGAGGTTTAAGGAATACCCTGACGGACCCGCTACTCGCTTCATGGACTTCAATCCCTGGCTAGCGCCAAGCAACGTTACGCGCCATATGGAACGACTGGCATCATCCCTCACGAACGTTATGCGGTCGAACACGAAGACTACTGAAGCGCTCCTCGGTGAGGCATACGATCGAGAGAAGTTCGTCCGCATCAACTGGCCATGGCTCATATTTCCGTTGCTTCTCCTACTACTGAGTTTGGTATTCTTGGTCGCTACCATCATCAAAACGTCGAATGATACCGAGACGGGGGTTTGGAAGACTTCAGCCCTGCCTACGTTGATCTACGGTCTACCACAAGATGTGCGGAAGGATAGCATCTCGACCACAAGCTCGGAAAGCGCATCGCCTCACGATCCCCGCAAGGTTAGAATTAGACTCTTGCCAAAGCAGGGCTGGAGAGTGTCGGGACAGGTGCACCCCGCATCGACAGTTCCACCTGGCTTCATATAACTACCAAGATTTTCCGTAGTATGCAAATACAGCCAATGCATATAGTTGTTATAATACGTGATCTATGATGAATGGCCACATCTGAGGCTGGTGTTGGCGCGCTGTCGTCATCGCAGGGCGAATGTCGCTTGCTGAACCTAGCTCGTCCAACGCGTCCCGCTGAGCCCTCACGTCTTTTCTCTTCGTCCCAGCTTCATCACCCAGAGCTATCTTCCGTCTTCGGTCACCAGGAAATCCTCGATCTTGACTGCATCTAAAGTCGCTATACTTGCCTACGCGACATGGCCATGTCGGTCCCCGTCCTCGGTAGCTGCCAGCCAGTTGGTATGCCGCAGCGCTAACAGCAAAGCTCCCATAGGCGCACGATAACGAAGCGCACGCTCAACGTCGAAGATCAAGATGCGCAGCTTAGCGCCATGACTCTACCATGACTGAAGGCATACTCGCAGCCGGCAGTTCAAGATGTATAGCTTGTTAGGCGCCGGTGCGCTGTCATCTTACCCTCGAGCAGCGATCGAACGACCAGCCTTACCGCGAGAAAACCCCCCTTCGCGTCTCGTGTTTCTCATCACGGCCCGATCCTCATCTATGCGAGTCTCACCGAGATGGCTTCCATTCCAAACGCGATACGATACCAACCTTCGTGGACACAAAAACGCGGACAACATGAAGGACGACATGCGCCAGGGTCGCTAGACTCTTCAGAAGACGAGAAATCATCGCTCGACTTCACGCAACGAATCGAGAGAAAGTTAGCCGAGTACAACTCGTCGGACAACGTCTTCAAGAGATGGCTATTCGAGATGATGAGTTGGTTGCTCAGTGCATCGTGTATGATAGCGATCATCTGCATCTACCTTCGAATCAGCGGCCAACCCATGTCGCTGGACGGATCCTATCTCACCTGGACGAATGTCTTGGGTAAAGTCTCTTCGGCTGCGTTGATCGTTCCAACATCAGAGGCGCTCGGTCAACTGAAATGGCATTGGTTCCATAGATCCAATGCTATGTGGGATTTTGAGATATTCGACAAAGCTTCCAGGGGACCTTTGGGTGCCCTAATGTTACTATTCCGGACAAAGGGCCGTTCTTTAGCGGCGCTCGGCGCGCTCTTAATTGTGCTACTTCTTGCGATCGATACCTTCTTTCAGCAAGTTGTCAGCTTCCCAGACGAGTGGATGACACAGTCTAACGCCGGATCAATACCAAGGGTAGTGCAGTACGAGCCGCTCTACGCACCGGAAACCTTCCAAGGACTCGAGACGAATTTCGTGGACCCCGCTTTCAGAGACCTCTTTGGCCGGTACTTCGCAGGGAATGGGACCCACCCTACGCCTTTTGCCAACACTACACGCCCCGACATACCACTCTCTTGTCCTACTAGCATCTGTAACTGGCCCCCATACGAAACTTTAGGCGTGTGCAGCGAATGTGTACAAGCGACAAATTTACTGCAATTCGCGTGCTTAGAGACGAAAGTCGACTGGACCGCCACACATGTTCGCCCAATTGATGACGATTCATACGCCGAGAGAACAGTCTGTGGCTACTTCTTGAACGCAACAAGTAGATCGCCTGTACTGATGTCGGGGTATGTTGTTGGTGGTGGGAATGAAAAGCCAACAGATGAGGCTCTGCTCGTACGTGTGATGCCATTGACTGATATGCAGACAAAGGCGCCGGTCTTTGGCGGCTCGATCAACTTCAGGCATCTTCGCAATCCAATCCTGGACACACTCATTGTCTCGGCGCCCGACGGCCGTGATAGTGTGTATCGAAATGAAACTCCTGTTGCTCATGAATGCGTTTTGGCTTGGTGCGTCAAGACGGTGGCATCAGCATACGCGTGGGGTCAATATAGTGAGACGATATCGGCCGTCTACCTGAACACGACAGATCAACCGTGGCCATGGCCATGGCAGAGTTATCCGGTGGAGCTGGAGAGTGAAAATGGCACCATGACTATCTTTGATGAAGATGTGACGATCACTCCGCCTCTTGCCACCCGTACCAACTCAACTGCGGAATACGAAAGCTTCAGCATGTCTAATACCACCGCGTCAAACATCATGATAGGATTCGACGATTTCTTTCCTTCGTACTACACCGCTATCAAGGGACAGAAGCCAGCCCTGCGATACAAAAACTACCCCGATGGACCCTCTTTGCGCAAGCTGGCATTCAATCCACTTCTGTTTCCCAATAACGTCACTCACCACATGGAGAGATTGGCAACCGCCATGACCAACGTCATCCGATCATCTGTCAGCGTAGAGATGATTTCGGGCGATGCTCTATCTCCACAAAGCATCATTGCTATACAGTGGGAGTGGCTCAGTTTCCCATTCCTGTTACTCCTCCTGTCCCTGATCTTTCTGGTCTTGACGATCATCAAAACCGCAAGAGACACGGGAACGGGTGTTTGGAAGACATCGGTCATGCCGACTCTCATCTATAGTCTGCCCAAGGAGACTCAGGGTCAATTCCAGGAACCATCAACTTGGCACACTGCGAGGGATACGAAGAAGGTTCGCATCAGGCTGCTGCCAAAGTCGGGTTGGAGGGTGTCTGGTCAAAGCCATCTCAGTGCGTCGCCCCAAATACCGCATCCTGCTGTGCAAGCACCACGTGGCTGGATTTGACATGCACTGCCTTGAGCTGTGGAAAGAATAATACAAGCAAGTGCAAGTTGACTTTGGAGCCTGCAACAACGCAATGCACAAAAGTGTACACTCAATAGCAATGCCTATATGTAGGCTTCCGGACTATATGATACGCATGGACACCAGATCTACACAACCGCCTTTTGAAAAGTCCTCGGGAGCTTTGAATGTGATTATGTGGTGTGACAGAAGTTGTGAGGAGCAGCATGTTGCATTGCGACGCGTTTTCGGTCTCAGGCTCACGTGACTGGGTTTCAGCCTGCCTGATTTGTGCCGCGATCGTTATGCTCTCTTGGCTCTCTTCCAATCGTTATACGGATAACCACAACAAAATTATCCTGCGTGCCTAGACAATGCAATCGACCTGGCATCAGTAGTTTCCAAGGTGTTCATCAGGGTGAGGCGTAGTCACGGATAGAAGCGCCACTACATGCGTAGCGGAAATGAGTACGGCGTGCGATATCCTAGTTATACTTGTACTTGGTGAGCCTGATCAATGGATAAAGTACCAGGCGATTTCCTCTCGCTGTAGGTGATAGCTCCATCAACTGAACCGCAACCAATCTGCACGCATCTTCAATTTCCGTAGATCAATACTCTCCCTTTCCACTCATACCAATATGCGCGTGCACGCAGTCACCACATTGCTTTCCTTCTCTCTTGCTGTCCTCGCAGCACCCGTCTCAGACGCTAAGGTATTTCATCTCATATTCGTATCCTGAGGTCTTCGCTAATAGGGTATAGACATCACTTCATGATATCTCTTCTGCTAGTGCAAACCATCGACAAGATGCGATCCCTCCAACTCTCATCGAGCCCTTGAAAGCACGCAGCCAGGCCGAAGAGGTGCCTATTGAAGCTCGTGGCAGAGTCAATACCAGTACCGGACGAGGAAAACGAGAGGCCGAAGCCGAGGCTGAGGTTGAAGCCCTTGAAGCACGCCTCAGGGTCGGGAGTAAAGCAGGTGGCGTTCCACGGGATGCAGATGCGGAGACCGTCAAGCGGGCTATCGGGTTTCCAAAAGGTGGCTCGTCCAGAAGACGTCGGGATGCACAGGGGCTCAAGTTCAACAGCCCTGGTGGTCATCGACGACATGCGGATGCAGAGGCTATCGACCGATCTATCGGACTTCCAGAAGGTAACCTGGACACCGATGGAGTCACTATTTCCAACGAGGCCCTGGCCGACCGTAGTCGCCTGGTCACATGGCCCCGCACACGCGATGCTGAGGCATCGAACGATGTGGTTGCGCGTGGAAAGGGAGTGCCATGGACCCCCAAGCGCGATGCTGAGGCAATCAAGATCAACAGCCCTGGCGGCCATCGACGAGAAGCCGAGCCCATTAAACAAGCTCTCGGACTCCCAGCAGGTGGTTCGGACACCGACGGCCTCGCTACATCGAACGCGGCCCTGGCCGAGCGAGGCCACAACGTCTCATGGGGAGGCAAGCGCGCCACCGACCCGGCAGACGACTTGGCTGAGCGAGATCGTGGCTCGCGCTTGGGTGGACGCAAGCGTGGTCTTATAAGACACCCTGGAGGTTCTCCTAAGAGAGACCTTACCCCGGGTCGCGGCGACAGCTACCGACGTGAGGCTGAGCCCATCAGACATGCACCAGGAGGCGGCTGCCCTCGGGATGCCGCACCCGTCAAAATTCCACTAGGTGGCTGCCGTCGGGATGCTGCTGCCCAGCCTAACAGAATCGGCGGGGGTATAAGTGGCGGTCGACGAAATACCATTCCAAGAGGCATTCGCGGTAATGGTGCTAACCCACGAGGTGTCCGTCCGGGAAATGGTAATAATCCAAGAGGCTTTGTTCGTCCGGGCAGTGGTACTCGCCCAAGGGATGTCATTGCAGAGACGGTCGAGGCTCGTACGAGGCTCAGAGGCAACAGCCATCGTGTTTGACCGATGGTGGCTAGAGGGTTTGATCGGAAGAGTTCCATTTACTTCGTTGTTGCGAGCTCTTTTTGTACGACAATATCGGCTCAGATATCTCAAGGACCTGCTGGACATCAGGCGGAAGGTATCTAGGCATTCCATATCTCTTTGCAATGAAATACATATAAACCCATTTGCAACGCTTCGTCGTTAGATACAGTGTAGAGGTGATTGCTTTCGCGTTTGTCGTGGTACCAGAGGCAGAAAGAACGTTTCTGGAGATCATCTGACTCATCTCGGGGTTGGGTTTCACTTTGAACTCTTTCGCTTTTGCTTTTGGAACGCTGATACTGCTCGATCGTCTTCTTCCACACATGGCTATGTTATTTGCATCTATGTCACAGAAGATGGCTGCATGGTTACGAAACGGATCGAGATTTTACAAAGAGAGGCTATAACTACATGGAACAGAAACCGGCATATGCCAGTATCAAGGATCAGCGCGATGCTGATATGGGCTATCGCAATAGCGATATTACTAGACCACACGAATGCAGTATCATAGACCAGCAGAGCCAGTATTGGGACCAGCTCAAGGCTAGTATATGGGGACCAGACGAATCTAGTGTCGTAGACCAGCAGAGCTAGTATTGGTCAACTGGCACGCCGCCGAGTCGAGGTGACCGACACAAGGCTTGTTAGTACAGGCTAACGGATGAATGCAGTATCTTGACTGGTTCAAGATCAGTATCAACCCGTACATTCACCGCACCAGCCGCAGTCACATCCTCCTCTGGACTCTTGCTGCCCACTCCAGTCTTCGCCGCTCCCAGCAGCAGCAGCAGCAGCCAAACGACGGAGAGATTCATTGCCTGGCTCCTCACTCGTAGGCATATTTGCAGAGTTGCGGGTCGAATTAGAAGCTATCACCTGTTGTGAGGCCTCTGCTGCAATATACTCACGCACCGCCAAAGTGACCGAAATGACCGAAGTGACCATGGCTCGGAGGTCTCGTTGTTCAAAGTGCTGGTTCAAGCTCTGCTCGGCTGTCGTGAAGATGATGTACGAAGCCTCGAATTCGCTGACCTGGTTAATTTGCAAAGGATGCAAATTCACACGCGGCTCGTCTTGAGTAATTGTGTTGATGGCCGACTGCCGATGGTCGCGCGCGGTTCTCATTGCCCTATCGTAATGTCTCTGGTTGTCTGCATCGGGAATAACAACTATCATAATTAGCGAAACCTCTAAAGAGATACCAGTTGACTGACAGTTCCTCGAGTTTCGTGTCACTATGCCCATTGTGTTCTGCGAATTGCACGCTCTACCATATGGCGTATTGTGGACAATTTCATTCGAATTGTTATAAGGTCCACCGTACTGCGCATTGCCATGTGACACATTGTAGTTGTCGTAAGTTATGTTATTCGTTATGTTGTACTGCGCATTGTTGAAGAATTGATTGGAGTTGTCGTATTGCACATTATTCGTAGGGTGACTCGAGTTGTCGTATCGCGCATTATTCGTGGAGTAGTTCGAGTTGTTGAGGTATGCCCTGTTGGATTGCCCATTGTTGACGAATTGATTCGGACGGGCGTAAGCTCCGCCGCGTTGCGAATTATTGGCGTATTGGTTCGGGTTGACATATTGGTTCGGATTGTTTTGGTAAGGGCTATTGTGGCCCCGGTTGGGATAGTTGTTTTGGAAATTGAAGTTTCCGCGACCGGCCATTTCACTATACAGGTCAGCGCACGTCTGCGAAATCAGAATGTGGGGGTCACTTACATTTTGAGTGAAAAGGCGGGGAGCTGGAGAGGACGGGGAAGTTGCGATGAGATATACAGCTCTACTTGCGCTAGTGCTAGCGTAGGCAGTCATGCCAAGGCCAGGCGTGGATACTCGTTGAAGGAGGTGAAGGAGCGGAAGGAGCGACCTGATGAAATCTACGAGAGAAATATTGTTTCTGCGATGTCTTGTTACCGATGCGAAGCTTACGTAGATAAGACGCTTTAGCCCTTTCGCCTGTACGGCCCTTGGATGGGGTCGGCATCTGGAAGAAGACAGTGGGAGACATGAAAAATAACTTACAAACCGGGAGCCCCATCCTTGAAAAGGGTACGCAATGTTTTGGGCACTCGTTCAGCATAGGGGTACAAACATTACTTTTGCTATTTACTAGTTCGAAAGGACCTCCACAATGTTATCCCAGAAACCCAGATCGTACACATTTTCAACGGCCGCTAGATTCCACACGCGCTCGAAGCTATCTTCTCTAGCAACTGACTGTATGCGGCTCGGCAGTGTTTTGGGCGGCTGCCCATTTCGCGTGCGTATGAGTATGTGTCTGCTTTCCAGCGGCCAAGTCGTTGGCGGCTCTTCGTCTTCTGGCGGGGTTTCCGGAGGAGTCGGGAAGGGTGACGTCGACGAAGAAGAATGTGCTGAGGCATGTGTGTGTTCCCGTGCAGGTGCTGCTGAGCGATATTCTTGCATGGTATCCTCCCGCCTATGGCCCAGGAAAACGACGCCATCGGCCATGTCGTCTCGCCAGTCCGCCCACTTGGCGCTCTCGTTCGTAGTCATGCCGGCCCAGATCAGGTAGACGTGGTATGCGAGCAGGCCTAACGGAAGCGGCCATGTGAGAAGAGCCAGCAGTCCGACCCCAGACCCGCGCACACCGCCCATGTCGAGGTAGATGGTTGCGTAGATCAGGAAGTAGTGAGTCTTCCTGTCAAAGTATCCAAACCAGCTCTTCGTGTTTACGCCTTGCTTGGGGCTGTATCTGTACCATCCTTCGTACTTCAGATAATGTCTGTAGACCAAAGGCGAAAGGCTGTAGTAAGCCAGGTATGCGCCGTACGCGATCAGTATGCCGGTGGATAGCAACAGGGCTAGGAACCACTTGTAGTTGCCCCGCCCTAGGCAATTGTTGACCCATATGCAATGATGGTCCATCCTCGACACGCATGTCTTGCATATACTGCAATGCTTACTCCGCGCCGGCTTCAGGAACTTGCACGTCCGGCACGGCGTGCCTGGATAGTATAGGACCCTGTCGTACGGGTAGTGTCGCATCTGCTCGGCATGATTGAGCGTGGTGATGTATGTCTGGCTGTTGCTTTTCGCGCTGAGATATAGGAACATGTACGGCTGCGGCAGCAGAACGAAGGCTAGGAGCTTGTGATGCGGTCGGATGAGGTGCCAAACGGTGGGCAGGAATAACGTCGCGCATGCGGTTACGAGGCCGAGGAAGAAGATGACGACCAGCGGGTGCTTGTCGTGCATGAGATAATTGCCCAGACGGGCGCCACCATTGGTAATGCGGCCATTGGTGAGGGCAAGATCGAGCTTTCGGAATGCGGAAGGGATGTGGATGAGGAAGAGGCGGTTAAGGAAGCCTATGGGCGTGTTTCTGGGAATGTTAGAAGGGATGATGAGTAGGAGGGGTGTAGATACCTGAAAGCTGGCAGTCGTCCGAAGAAAGCTACAAATGTCACCAGCGACACTGTGATGGTGAAGATGATGATGGTGCGGGCGACCGTCATGGTGAAAGAGACCAGCAGACTGCGACACTACGCATGGCGGAACAGAATGAAGACGCGAATCGAAGCTCTATGGCATCACGTCGCGCTCTGTCTGTCAGTTCACAGAGGTGACAGCGCAAGCGTCGGATAAGGCTGAGCAGCCGCGGAGGCTAAGCGACCCCGCGTGAATCATGTGTCCCATGTGAGCACGCGTCGCGCCTGAGCCAACGCGTCATTGACCACCACCATAACCCGACAACACCACCCCACCATGGCTGGGCCGACCGTATACATCGACGTCGCAGAGGATTTCGATTTCGCGTCAGGCGGCCAATTATTCGCTGGCAAGAAATTCTGGGTTGCGCAGCGCGTAGCGTCGCGGAAACGGCTGCTGGACGACATCAAGGCCAACGGCGGAGAGATCGTTGCGTTGGAAAAGAAGGCGGACTACCTCATCGTCGACCACGCTCGGAGAGATTGTCCCCCAGGATCAACGTCGTATGAATTCATAGAAAAGTCCATCAAGGAGGGAGAACTCCAGGATCCCGAAGACTACACAGCCGGACCACCGTTAGGTGAGGCGCGAGAGGCTGGTTCCATTCATCAACCCACCAAGAGCGGAAGGACAGCGTACACAGCAGAGGAAGATAGGATACTCTCCAAATGGGTGCGCGACGCCCAATCAAAAGGCGCTTCCATCAGTGGGAACGAGCTATACAAGCAACTCGAAGCCAAGGTATGCGCCAACAAAGAAAACGCGCGCGGGAGTGGTCGCTAACGAACGACAGTACCCACGGCATACATGGCAGTCATGGCGCGACCGATGGGTCAAGACACTTAGCAAACGTCCGCTCTCGGCTTTCACGATACCTGATAACGCTCCTCCGTCTCCTCCTTCCGATCAGTCGAACGAACGTATGCCCCCAGTTCCAGCCCCCTCCAAGCCTACAGAACAGCAAATACCTAAAACAGAACAGACTCCAAGTGAGACAAACCTCGATAAGATGGGCAAAACAAAAGCGAACAGCGACTATAGTGTGGAAGAGTTAGAAGTCTTGTTCAGCATAGACGACTGGCTGGAATTATATGCTTTTGTAGAGTTTATCGATGGCGTGGAAGGACAAGACGATTACCTGTCTGCTTGGGATGGGTGGGCCGAGAATCAGGGAAACCAAACTGTCGAGCAGTGGCGGCAGTATTACGACAAGGTAGTCCGTCCACAGTGGTTGCGCGATCCGATATCGAAAAGGGAGAAGATCAGGAAGAAGATGGAAGAAAAGCACGACGAAATCGCAAGGCGGAGTCAGGCGCTCAGTCAGCATCCAGCAGAGATCGAGAAACCAGACGAAACACTGTCACAACCTTCTCCAACAACACGAACTAGAGTGGAGCCGGTACAGCGGTCAGCTTCTGAGGGAGCGAATTCTGAGGAATTACCGCAACCCCGAAACCCACCCAAAATCGCGTCAGAGCCTAAGATGCCGTCATCATCCACCGCTCGCCAAGAATCTCCGAACTTTTATGATGAGCAGCTTGCCAGGTACACTAAGCGATTACGCGAAGACAACTTTGTGAAGCAGGAAGATGAGGAAGAACTCGCTCCTCCCACCAAACGTCGGAAGAGCGGAAGCGCGACGCCTATCCAGGAAGAGCCAATGCGACCGATCAAAGCCGAGGGCACGCAGAACCAGCCTGTGGAGATATCTTCTGCTGCGAGTTCCCAGACTACTTCGACGTCAGGAGATGCCGAAGAGCTTATGCAAGAGCAAATCCGGTCTCAAGAGCCCGATACAGTGGATGAAGATGCCACCATCGTCAACATAGACGAAGATCTAAAGGAAGAAGAGGTGAGAAGCATAGAGTCAGATGATTTTCCTGACATTGATGAGCTACACCCTCTCTCTCCCCCACAAGAACAAGACTCGGTATCTGGCGATGATCTGCCCTCAAATACACCTACACCGCGTGCCACCCGACAAAAGATTTCTAATTTCGACACTCAAGCCATCCTATCATCGCCGACACAAGACACGTTCTCAAGACCACAAGACTTCGTCCCCAACATGGCTCCTCGACAACCGCAGCGATTCTCCTCACCCCCCGAACAACCAGCATCTGACGCATCAACCACCCAATCCATGGAAGAGTTCCGCCGCTCCCTCCAAGAAGAAGGAGAAGAAGACCCAGACCAAACCCTCTACTCGCAGCACCCCCCTCAACCCCTCCTCATATCCTCATCCCCAGCCCCTTCCACCTCATCCACAGGCGAAGAAGACCCCGACCCACCTCTCACCGGCGACGAAATCGTCGATTTCTACACCGAGCTGAACGAACAAAAATGGTCCGACGAATTCATCAGCCGAGCACTCAAACGCACAGGTCTACGCCCTGACTTGGCAGAAAAAGTACTCGATGCATGGAAGGTCGGGAAACCTTTACCGATGGAAAGGGGTATTTGGAGTAAAGAAGACGACGAAGCTGTTGAGGGTGGTGATGGGTATCAATTAGCGTTGTTGGAGAAGAAACATACGTTGGATGGGTGGGGTGGGATTGTGGAACGGTTGAAGTTTTTGGACACGTATCGGAGTCGGTAGTGAAGGTCGGTTAGGGGGTTGGTGTGGTTATTTCTATCAGTACTTCGGATGTTGGACAGTGGAATCGTTCCTTCAGATGGCGTTGCGTAAGGTTGGATTGGACGTTCGTATATACCCTCAGCGCAGCTTACACTGCCTCTATTTTGACGAAGAAAGCTACGATGAAAGCTGGAACAATTGTTTGGTAAACTACGGCCAGAAGTATCTCATTTCGTCATCACCTCAGATCCTCAATGTCCAACCCAAGCCCGATGCACCTCCCCATACCTCTCCCCCTCCGGCTTCGCCTGATCAACAATCCTCCTCATCTCCGCCATCTCCTCCTCCGTCAACTCCACATCCCTACTCCCCCAATTCTCCTCCAACCTCCCCACCTTCGTCGTCCCCGGAATCGGCATCATCCCCTGACTACTTACCCAAGCCAGCGCAATCTGACTCGTCGAACACCCCTTCTTCTTCGCCAACTTCTTAATCTCCTCCACAATCGCTTTGTTGCGATAGAAATTCTCGCCTTGGAATTTCGGGACAGTGCGCCGGAAGTCGTCGGGCGCAAAGGAGTCTGGTGATGGGAAGTCGAAGTTGTCGACGAGCCAGCCGTGGCCGAGGGGTGAGTACGCGATGTAGGAGATGGAGAGTTCGGCGGCGGTGGCGATGAGGGAGTCGGTTTCGTGGAGGGTTTCGAAGGCGGAGTATTCGGCTTGGATGGCGTGGATTTTGGCGATGGAGTTTGCTTTTCGGAGTGTCTTGGCAGAGCACTCTGAAAGGCCAATGTACTTGGTTTTGCCTGCCTTGCGGCATTCGTCGAGGGCGGGGATGGATTCTTCAAGGGGGGTTTTGGGGTCGATGCGGTGGAGGTAGTAGAGGTCGGGTGTAAATCCCAGCCTCTCAATCGTACCATCGATGTACTTCTTGATATGAGCTGGGCTGTTGGTTACGCCTGACTCGCCATCGAAGCATGCAACGCCGCACTTTGAGGCAACTGGACATAGACTATCAGCGATACTGCCATTGCGAGATCTTGTCCTCTAAGTGGAAGAACTTACTGAAGACCTTGTCGCGGACGTTGTGCTTTCGGATGAAGTCTCCTAGAAGCTTTTCGTTCACGCCTGCCTGGTACACGACGGCAGTGTCCCAGAAAGTGCAACCGAGTTCAATGGCTTTGAGGAGAATGGGCTCGGCTTGTTCAAGGCTGAGGTTGCTACCCAGTCCATGACTGAGGCCCATGCAACCAAAACCTGGAGATGGTACTTGGGTGTCCTGGAACTGGAATGTCTTGACCATTTTATTGGAGCGGGCTGTGTAGAGATGAGACGGTTTGCGGTAGGAGTGAAAGCTATCAAGCTGACTTGGTACTGTATACTGTCGTAGCAGAGGTCTCTCTTATATGTTCACACGTAGCAACTTCGAATACGTTCGGTGATACAGACTTCGAGAGTGTCAGCCAGTCGCATTAGCGGACCCATGCAACTTCGTGGATAAGTGATGTTGAGTCGAATATCTCCGCTAAAGCCGCGTTGCCCTTTTGCCTCACGTACTCCTAATCCTCACGCACTCCTAATCCTCACGTACTCCTAACAAGGGCCGAATTTCGTCGGTGAAGAATCTGACGTGATGTCCACATGGTTGTTTCAATTGGCGTGCTCAGAGGCGTTATGTCCGTTACCGCCGGTGTTGCGACTCACATCCACATCGATAGTTTGAAGTACCGATGTCTTGTCTATGCCAATTTCGCAGGTAAGTTCCACAATCGCATAGCTTACAGAAGTGACTGTTGGTATTATTGCAATTGTATCCAGCTAGTACGAGTTGCTTTGTCTAGGGAGAGGTGAGGTATGTTGGAAGATCGCAGCTAGCACATCGATGTTGATGAGGACGTTCAGCCACGCAGCCACAGCTTCAAGCCACTCATTACCAGCAATGACGTCGCCCAAGATGTGGATGCTGGAACCCTGCTTGTCGCGTGTGTCTCCTGAGATCTGTTGAAATGTCGACACAACTACGTCTTCGCGTCTCCGTGTATTACGCCGCGATCCGATCTCCCCGGCCATTGCATCATCCCTGTGCCGACAATGAGGCACCGACTGTCAGCGCTGGCCTCGCTCCCACGCGCTTCAACATTCCCGACCGCTCGATGCGCGCCACTATTCACACGCAACTCTCCACGCATATCAATACAGCTGAGGGCATCCTCCCAATTCAGATGCTATGCGACCAAGCCCAGAGGCGTAGACAAGGAGACTGACAAGTATGGAGACTACAGCAACTCCAATGCGCGGCCTGCGGCAGACCTGAATGAGAACATCACACAGGAAGAGAAGGACCACTTCGCAAAGAAACTGAAGGAAGACAGGGGCAAGCAAATACGAACACCATGGCACAGGGAAGGAAGCGACCTGCCGCCTGTCGCGCGACAGAGGAGCGCTGGAG